ATGTCTTTGTTAAAACCCGTTTTGTCTAGTTAAAACTAGAATTTACTGCTAGTCAAAAATGAATTTGAGTTAAAACTAGTTTTAACTAGACAAAACGGGTTTTAACAAAGACATTCAGTATAAACTAGTTTCAACTAGACGAAACAGGTATTAACAAAGACATTCAGTATAAACTAGTTTCAACTAGTTAAAACGCATTCTAACTAAAAACGGGTTTTGACTGTAACATATATACCATTGTTTTTATTTTTATTCACAAGTACCATCACTATTACATTTTATTCCTAATTTTTTGGAATTTACTTTATTTATTATTTTTATCATTCTTTTATCCAGTTTTAAAAATCGCTGTATTTTCAATTTCAATTAATATTTACTCAAATTTTTGATATTTAGAAATTTAATTGTGCCAATCGAATTTTACAATGGTAATTTTAAAATGTTCTAATTTACCTGAGAAAAATGTCTATGCAACATTGAAAGTATTTGTTTTAATATTGCTAAAGTGATAACTCTATTAACATTAAAGTGCTAAAGTGATAACTCTATTAACATTAAAGTGCTAAATTTCATCATTATTAATGTTGAAAGACAGTTTTGTTTATTTCATATATAAGTCAAACCCCCTATAACACTGTAGATAATTCCGTTTTATATGAAATCCATGTTGTACAAGTCACTTAGATTTTACAAATGTGCCGGGCTGTGAATGGCTCATGTATTTGTAAAATCTAAGTGACTTGTACAACATGAATTTCATATAAAATGGAATTATCAACAGTGTTATAGGGGGTCGACTATAATTATCAGCATGGAGAATATAGTTTATTTAATTATTCTATGGTGTTTGTTATTTATTTGTTCTATACATGTGGACTTATGGATATTCAAATGTGACATACACACATTTAAAATTTAAACTCTCTAAGTTTATGCAGACTAAACATAATGGTGAGAACATTTCAAATACTTTTAAATCTGTTCTCGTTCTTCATCTTTGAGATTTTATTGTTTTTGCCTGAAAATCTAAAAAATGGAATGGTTTCAAAAGTAATTTATCTGCAAATAAAAAAAAACACTGTCTTGTACCTTCACATTCAAGTGTTAGTACTGCATATTTATTTTTCATGTATCTAAAATAAAAAGATTAATCTAGATTTTTGGATAAAGCTTTTCTCACCTTTATATATTTATTATACATGTTTACTTGTTTTACAATAGATTTTACAATAGATCTTACAAATGGGAATTTTTAGTAAAAACAAATATACATTTCGAAATAAAGAAATTTAAATACATCCAATATCCACAAGAAAACAGTTACTTTTTTAATCTATCAGATCTTTTAAATTAATTATATGTAAAATTTTGTATAATGATTGCAATCATATTTAAATTGTTTTGCAAAAATTTGATAAAAACTCAAAATTGAGTCACAAAATTAATTGAAAAATTGCTATTAATATATGTGAATAAGAACATTGAATTAATAAATTATATAATTTTAGAAATTACATTTCAAACATTTAACTAACAAAATTAAAGAAACATATACATGGATTAGTTATTTAAATATATCTAATACAGTGGTACCTCAGGTTACGAACGCCCCAGCATACGAAATTTTCAGGATACGACATGAAATTCGAACATATTTTTGCTCCACGATACGAACAAAAACTCACCATACGACGTTACATTAGTTCGCATTTTTCATTTGTTTTTCNCAGGTTACGAACGCCCCAGCATACGAAATTTTCAGGATACGACATGAAATTCGAACATATTTTTGCTCCACGATACGAACAAAAACTCACCATACGACGTTACATTAGTTCGCATTTTTCATTTGTTTTTCTTACTACAGTTATTTTTTTTAATGTATTACTTGGCTTTAATTTGAGTATGTTTTTCGCGTTGGAACGAATTATTTGGTTTTACATGTAATTGTATGGGAAAAGATGATCCACCTTACGACATTTTCATGATACGATCTCAGTTTCGGAACGGATTAATTTCGTATCCTGAGGTACCACTGTAGTTAATTTCTATAATTGTGAGATTAATATCTATAATTTATAATTCTATATAAATACAGAAAAATGTTTTTAAAAACATTTTCTCTATATATTTACAATTAGTTAGTTAGGCATTTATTATTATTTATTATAATTATCATAGGTAACAGTAAAAAGAAAATATATTTATTTTAAATATTTTTAGTATAACATATCCCATTTTATATTTACAATTTAAATTTTATAGTTATAAAATTCTGATTAAATATAGACCTATCATACAACTCCTTTTCAAAAGTTTAGAAACTTTGTCATTAAAATTATAGTACAGTGGAACCTCGCTTAATGAACACCTCTCATAATGAGTAATTTGCATAATGAGCAAAACAAATTGTAAAAAATGACTCACTTAACGAGTGACATGGAGAGGGGAAGTTCTGGATAGTGTGCATACTACATCAGTCTGTGTTTAGCACTCATTCTGCTAGCATCTTAGTGTTACTTATGATCATACATTTTCCCAAACTTGTGTTCAGACATATTACATATAAACATCAACAACAATAACCTGTTATATAATAAACATGCCAAATGATATGCCAAATTCTTGGGCTATGTAAAGGCTATAATTAAATATTAGAAATTAAATAATTTGACAAGAGGTAGGCAGTTATGCTGCTATCTCTTATTAAATTTAATGACTAATTTCAAATTAAATTTTGATTTTCTTTTTGTTTTCTGCAAATTGAATTCGCATTCCAGGTTGATTTATTTCCACATTATATTGTATAATTTTCTTTGAATAAACATTATACATAAAATATTTGAGTATTTTTCTGCAGCATGGAGTGCATTATTGTATTTTATATTAATTTATATGGGGAAAATTGTTTCACTTAATGAGTGTTTTGTATTACGAGTAAGATTCTGGAACAAATTATGCTTGTTAAGTGAGGATCCACTGTATTGATAATTACAAGCAAAATACTACTTATACATACAGAAATCTAACATTATATTTATTTCCTTATTAAACAAATAAATAAGTTACAAAATGCATCAAAAGTTTTAATTCAAAACATTTATTTTAATCATAAAAATATTCATTATACAAACCATACTTGTTTCATAAATTTAGAAACTCAATAATACACAATTACTTTTTGTATTTTGTTTAGTAATTTTGTGTTGAACACTTGCTATTATGGTTCTTACTGCATTATGGGCAAATCTAAGCAGCTAACAAGGGAATAAAAAATTAAGATTTCTGAAAAAAGGTGATTGAGTTAGTCAATAAAAGATATTGATGACAAAAATCTAAATATATCATAATCACCTCTTTCAAAATGTTTGAAACTAATACATGAAGACAATGAAATCATCACAAACCCAGCAAAACAATCAAGTAGGCCAAAAATAACAACTAAACATGATAGAGAAATTGTAATTAAATGGAAGTATGAACAGTTATAGTGTAACCATGTAACCTGTTATTATTATATTAAATATTGCAGGTATCTATATTTATATAGTTATGGCTGAGGAGGGTCCCTTGAAGACTGAAATGCATTCTGCTAATAAAAGTCTTTTCTCAATGTGATCTTGATTACTTAGGCTCCATTGCAGTTTGATATGCCTCATATCTCTACCATCTGGTTAAATGAGATAATTATTAAATTAATGTTTTAGAGGCTAGAAGCTTACAACTATTAATTTCTCTATATTCATTTTTCCATTAATATCAATGCACAAAACTAATATGTATGCATTAAAAATTAAATATACATGACATTTATCAATATTACTGTAAACTAGAATAATGAACAAAAACTAAAATATGATATCTAATATTCACAGCATTTACCATGTTTGAAATACTACAAAATAGGCCTAAATAAGTGCAAGCAAATATAAAATAATTATAATTTAGTTAATATGTTTGTTCAATTATCAGAGGACAATGAACAAATATTAGATTTTTATATCAGTTAATGTAATTTTTACATTAACTGATATAAAAATCTAATATTTGATCAATGTTACAGAAAAGTTAGGCATATATTATACTAAAAATATTAATCAAATCAATAAGTCTTTTAATATAATTAGTGTTGCATTTAAGTAATTTTAAAGTCTAATATATATATTTAAACATTTAAGAATCTTTTACTATAATATTATTTACATAGTATTAATACTATTATATAATTAGAATATATTTTAGTATTTTAACTATAAATTTAAATATCAGTTTATTTCCTTTAGTAATGTTTTCAAATTTATTTTAATTTACAGCATTATGAAAACTAACATTTGATAACTAAATTATCTAAATTATTTTATAACTTCTAATTATCTTGAATTTCTAACAATTTATTAATTTGATTAATCATACTTTATTAATTTATGAAGATTAAAAATACTGTATTTTTATTTTTATATCAAATTATCATATTAGAATTTTATTTTACTTTAATTTTAATCAGTATGAATACAGTAGTTAGTTCTGTATTTAACATATAAACCTATATTAAACAAAAATTTAATTTTTTTAACATTTAATCTATGAATAAATAAAAAAAGTTCAGAGAGAAAAAATTTATAAAAAATTTCCAAAAATTTCCATATTTAGAAATAATTTAAATATATTTTAAAACACTATTTTATTTTTAATTCTATAAATAAAATTTAATTAATTAAATTGTTTTTGCTTTTATTTTAAATTTATATATATTTAATGTTATATATTATTAATAATAGTTATATTAGCATTAAAAATATCTGAATTACTTTTATCACTTTTCAATGTAAATATTTGATAATCTGATACATTTGCAAATACCTAATTAATTAATAATTTTTTCATATTTGTTCTTATCTCTTTTGAATCAGTTATTATTTTAATATAATTTAAAACACAATATTGTCTGAATTACTGTATAATCAGACAAGTGTAGGATAATTAAAGATAAAATCTGCTGTCATCTGTTAACAAACCAAAGATCAACATTAATAATTGTGAGTAAGAATCTTTCACATTGTATTTCATTACATCATAATATTAAGGATAATATAATAGATTACTACATTCAGCTGAATTGTTCCTTGTACTTTAAATCAGGAAGAAGTTTAAAGTTCAAGATTAAAGGCTCAAATTTATATCATCATTACTTTATTCTGAACTGCTCATTTTAAATGAAGATAAACATGTATTAAGAAATTTTTTATAATGTAACAATATACACTATCTGGTGATAAAAATGGAAATTTATATTTTAATGTTATATTTATTATTTCAATTGGGATGGAGAAGAATTGGGAAAGATATAGTTAAAAGAAGCTAACAAGGAGAGAGTTTTTATGTGTGCCAAGGATATATTATGGAAAAAGGAATTACCTGTTAAGGGCAAGAGAATATTGTATGAAAATACAATACACCTATAGTAACATACAGTATAGAAACTTAAACTATAGGGAAATGGAAAGAAAGTAAATAAAGACTATGGAGATAAAATTTCTTAAAAGTGCATATGGTGTATAAAAAATACAAAATGAGAAATGATGGGACAGAGGAAAATGAGTGAGAATGACAGAGTATAATATTGAAAAGAGAGAAGTGATCATATTAAAAAAATGGACAGAGAAAGAATATCACAAATAATCATGAAGAAATGCTTAAAAAAACATCAAGAAGAAGGTTTGATAGAAGGAAGCAATGATCCAAGAAAGATAAGAATGAAGTGGAAGAAGAAAGCTGAAAACTACAAACATTAAAATAAAAATAGTGAAAATAGATCTAAAGTAATAAGAAATGATGATACTATTAAATCATTCCTATAAACTATAATAAAATCATATTTATAATTTATTTTGTTATGTTTATTAATTCACTAGTTTATGATGAAATAAATGCAATTCCAAAAGCATCTAATATAAATTATAAAATATCTTATATTTTTAAAAATAAAAGGACTATTAGATATTATTTTTAAAATAACAGATTTTTGGGAGAAAAGAGGCAAATATATATCTGAAATTTGGTTATTTTTTCATTATATAAATAAAGGATTTAAGAATGATGCACAATCTATCATACAGAAGAATGGAAATTTATGTTTGTTTAAAAGAAAGATGTGAGATATAAACTGTAATTTATGTTTATAATTAAGTTCTAAAAGATCAAATATTATATATAATTTTTATATTAATTAACAAATTAATTAAAATATTTGGACCAAATTATAATTTAAAAACTTAATTATGATATTTAACCTGAATGATTTTCATGATATAATAAATAAATCAGCCAAAAATTTCAGTATATACATTCAAAAAATTATGACAGTCTTTGTTTTAAATTTTTTTCTTGCAAATAATATAACAATACAATCTATAGTTACAAAGTGTGCCTTGCTAATGCAGAGTATCAATTCATGTCAAATAATCTGAAAATTCCAGATATTTTCCTGAAAGTTAATTTATTTTACACAGTTCTTCAAATGCAATTTCATACTTTAAAATTACTTTAAACATTTAATATTTCTCTCAAAGTTATCTGTAATGAAAAAGTGAAAGAAATTTCATATACAATTGTAATTTTTAAACAGATTACATATTTGTCTAAGCATGAATGGAGAGATATATAATACAATAATATATATTTCTAATCTTTAAAATGATGAATTTTTCATATCATCTTATGATCTTTTAAATAATTTGTTTATTTTATGTTTTTAATTGATTTTTTCTAGAATTGATTTATAATTATTGATAAAACACTTTCATCAAGTAAAATAACTCAATAGAATAGTGTGATACAAACTTGTAAGACAACACATAAGTAAATTGAGATAAGAAAGAGAGGTTGAGATGTATGCATTTGTGTATTCTTCTACAAGTCACACAATTTAGCTGGATTATGTTTTTTTGTTCTCACATGATGTTGTTACTCAATAGTGCATAGTCATCTCATCAAGAATTATACATAAGCAAACACATCTTCATAATTTTGACATTTTACTCTTCTATTTCTCTATCACATATGAACAAATTTATGCATTAAAAAACATACCACAGATGAGGTTGTATTGGTAATAGCTATATTTATTATATATTTATTATTATTATAATAGTAGAATAAGGTATTTTTCAGAAAGAAGCTAGATTAGAATCCAGTTAAAGGCATTATGATTTACACAGATAATTTAAATTAAGCTATTGTTTTCCCATCTACAGCCAAGACAGCAGACTTTACTGTATGGTAAACCTATTGGTATTAAGGTCAGATATATAGCTCACTATTAAACAATCCTATCAAAGGATTGTTACAGAATATATTTTTGTTCTATTACAAGCTAGACAGATTTAAACTTTTAACATTTAGTCTGATGAAGTTATACTTTATGAAGAGTTATATAAAATTGCATCTGTCTAATAAATAGCAATGTAGATCTTAAACAAACTGTTACTTATTAACTTGGATAACTTATGTCATTGGTCATTTTGTTATACAAATGACAATTGAAGATAAAATCATGCTAAATAAAATAATTCAAAATGTTTGCTTAATGTTATTTACTTTTAAATATATTAATAATAATAATATAAAATTTTTCATACTGTTAAAACAGAAATAATTTCACCAACAATTTAACACAAAATTACAAAACTTAAAAGTGTTGTTATAAAATAATATAAAATAAATTCAAATAACTTCATATAGTTAATATCATTAATTAACTGTTTTTAAATAGTTTATAAAAATATATTACAGAATAATAAATTCAATTATTTATTACAAAGTTTTATTATACTATCAATATATTAATGTGTTACAATATTAATCTGGACTATATCTTTTAAATTAATTAGTTCATTATTATTAATACAAACCAGGAAATAAACTCAATACTTGAAATTCAATATTTCTAAATAGATGTTTTACCTGAACACCATTAAAAAGCCAGGAAATTTCAGGCTGTGGATGACCATAAACCCAAAATTCAATTCTTACTGGCTGTCCTCGAATGCCATACATTACTTCTTCTTCTTGACGAAGGAATCTAGGAGCAGCAGCTGAAAATTTGTTAAATAAAAAAATATATTTTAGTTAATTATATACAGTTAAACTAATCATAATATTATAGGAACTTTATAAATATAGATGATCATTTTTAAGTTTTCTTTAAACATATATTTATATATATATTTTGACATATATATTGCAATGTAAACTATTGTTCTTTGCACATCATGATATACAGAGTGTATTTTATACTGCATCATAGTTGTTTTTGATATCTAAATTTGTGTAATGTGGAAATTTTCAGTATTTCTTTGCCATTTTTAGTTTAAACACAATAAGGATATAACTTTCTTGATAATGAAAAATAATTTATTTAATAACATGTAGTTTAACAGTTATTCTCTACTCTTTTGGAGAACATACGAAATGTCTTTCTAAATCTTGAATACTTTTGGGTCTTTCAACATATCATCAGGATACAAAAATCTATTGTAACAAAAGATGCAACACTGATTCTAACACTACATATTTTAAATTCCTGTTACTCAATGTCACACATTAATTCCCTCCAATGTATGCCCTCTGTTTGCAGATCACATAATCACATCAATTTCCTTTTCACTACAAACAAGTACATACTTCATAATTACCCTAATATATGTGAGATTCCAAGTGAGACTAAGTTCACATGTTGGAATTTTAACAAATGTCTGACTGAGAACTCAAACTTTGACTCTAGCAATCATAGAAATGACAAAATAAATACAAAACAGAGAAATGAAATACTTTTGCAGTAAAAAGAATGTTACATGAAAATAGTTGAAATTCTTAGGTGTCAGGAGGGAAAACATAACATGCTAAAATATGAATAAAAGTTCCAAAGTTTGCCAAACATTACTTGGTTGGAGTTGAGATGTGGTGTCAAATTGTACAGCTCTATCTGGTCTCATTTCACCTATATACAGAAAGTGATAAGAGGAAGTTGGAACCAATCAGAAAACTTAATTCTGAGACAAATTCTATAAAAATCCACATTTCAAGGACACAGCAGATTTTCTTCTCCCGAATATGGTGGCAGTAACCACATCTTTTTTGTGTGCTTCTACTCTGACTGCTTTAGATTAGAAGCTGTATTTGGAAAGCTTCTAACCTGAGGCAGGCTTGTAAATCAAGCTGAAAATGTTTGTTAGATTATTAAGTGAGTGTTGGAAACATACAAAATGTATGTTTGTATAATTTAACTAAAAATTCCATCTTTCAGAAGACAGTTGACTCTGACTGCCACCCATATCATATCTTCTCTATCTTCAACCTACCGATTGCCACATATCATGTCTCCAGAGTCATCAATAACAATGACCTGGGTCTAACAACTTCATGAGAGATCATCAACAATGACATTGCATCTCACCTCTACTCCAAATTTTTAACAAATATCATCCCAAGAGGAAGGACTTTAAAAGTGATTTTGTAAGCCTTCAACTTATTTCTAAATAAACAGATTCAATTATAAGGGTGCTTTTTCAGTTGGTCTTAAATACCTCAAACTGATAGAAGCCCTTGAGGTTTTTAATGAAATATTTGTATCAACCACAAGGATGAGAAACAAATATCCTAGGCATGGCAAATAATATATGACTTATCATTGTGATTTATTCAATCAAATTGCACACCTGTTTTGTTACATATTTCAATTTTTGAATTCCATTGATGTTCTTCTTTGAATGTTCCATTTTTTAGAATAATGTTAACCTGATTCAGGTTTTAGATGAAATAGACATTTGTGGACTGTTGAAACCTTTGTTACTGGACTGAATTCAATGATCCCAAACCAATCTTTTATAAGAAAAATTTCCCCCAAAAAATTCCCCTAAAAAATATCTGAAAGCAACACTGTACATGGGGCCTCTAATTCAAATTTGCTTGAAGCTCATGAAGCTATAACACACCACTGCTAAAATGTTAGAAAATAAAAAATCATATTTACCATGCTTATCCAGAGGAGGATGTTCAATTTCATAATCTTTAGGTTTATAGTCTGCAGGAGTTGGTGGTCTTAATTTGCTACGATATGCACTTACATATGGTGAAGGATCACTAATTCCATGCTTGTTTTCTACCCTAATTCTGAATCTGTAATCTTGATTAGGAATCAAACCTCGAATATCACAAACTGAGTCCTTCAGTCCTATATTAATCAAAATTACAGTTTTTAGTAATTATGAACAGATATTGAATTTAAAAATTTCTCATTAAACTCAGTAAAATAAATTTAAGATAATGATTTTATTTATTAAATTTAAATGTAACATTAATTAAATAAATTAAATTTAATAAAAATATCATTATCTTCTGAAGTATTTAATAATTGCTATATAAAATAAAAGAATATGTGTATCTAATGTTCATAATGATAATGTAATTTATAATACATTATAAATATTCAAGTCATACTATATTTTAAAAGCAATAAACATTTAAGTATTAGTCTAACAGCAATGAATTTATTGCTGTTAGACTAATACTTAAATGAAGATTGCATTTTACAGAAGCTATAAACTGTAAACATGCAAATGGCATGTTTTTTACTACTTTTCTATATAATAAATACAATGTCATGACTTTGGAAATTCTTAATGATGAACTGCATTAAAACATTACAAATTATGATGATTTTTTTATCATTTACTTTTAATTTTTACAAATTCTCTCTCTTTTTAATCCATAAAATTAATCTAATTGTTCTTTTAAAAGTGGAGAGAGTTATTATAAATTTCTATTTTCTTGTATTGGAAAGCTGTCAATCTAAATAAAAAATATCAAACAGAAAACAGAAAGATGAGATTTCACATATCTTAATTATTTGTTGTTAACATTTATCTAATTCTACTTTATAATAACAAAACCCCATAAATTTTGATTCTCAATACAGATATTTATTGAAGGTTTCTGACTAAAAAATGAATTATTACTAACTTAATAACTTATTATATAATGTAACTGATTTTAATAATTCTTGATGATATGTACATTTAGAACTTCTTTATTAATATATTTTATACCTGATCTATAAGAATTCCATTTTCCATCTGGTTCTTGACACATTTCTACTTCATATGTAACAGGAACTCTGGGAACTGATGGTACTGATGGACGCCATCCAAGGGTCAGATATGTATCTGTCATACGCATTATAAAAGGTGGATCTGGCAAAGGACTTGGTGGACCTTAAAAAAGTTTTTATTATAACTATTTTATAGTATAATCAACTATTTGCTTTGTTAAAAAGTATAATTATTCTATTAGTATAATTTTTTATATTAACATGACTTTATATTATATTAACATTTCATAAAATGAAAAATTATAAAAAAGTTAAAAATTTATTTAATTAATTTTATATCTATAAATTTTATTAATTTTGTAAGTTATAAAAATAACCAAAAATATTAAAATATCAAAAATAGACCAAAAATATTTTTCATTCACATGCTTAGTTGAATGTAGATTTAGCAAGCCATGAAAGTTAAGAAAAACTCAAAGGGACTAAAATTGAAAAAAAAGGTTGAGAATGGTTGTATTAAATAATAATTCAATTATTTCTGAAATAAAATTTGCTCAATTTTTATATATTATTTAATAAATCTATCAATTTTTGTTTTCTAATTATATACCTGTTTTTCGTTGCTTTTCACTTTCTGTTGCTCCAGCATGAGGTACATATTCATCAACACCTAAATTTAATAGTTTTGTATAAAAATCCTGTTTACATCATTATTTATTTTATAAATTTAATACTTTTTTATTGATTAAAAAATTTTAAGTAAATTTGTACTTCACATTTTACATACCTGCTAAATGCAAATTAGCAGTGCAAGTATCACTACCATATTTATTTGATACTGATACTCTATATTCTCCAATATCAGATGGTTTTAATTGATAAATAATGAGTCGTAAAATTCCATTATGTTCATGTTCCATTGTATAATGTTTTGAAGGTTCCAACTGTTCCCCACTTTTGAACCTATGACAATAAAAGTTATATCCATTATTCTTATATTATAGATTATGTGATATTTCAAAATTTTTATCATAAAAATATTGCTGGAAACTAATTTAAACTTTATATTCCTTAAAATATTGCTGGAAATTAATTTAAATTAATTTCCAGCAATATTTTAAGGAATATAAAGTTTAACAATAGCAAAGATAAAATTCAGAAATTATGATAAATTTAAAAAATACTTTTTCAGATAATACAAGGTCTGTTCAAAAAGTATCAGACCTTATTTTTTTCCGCGTAAACCAATGATGCGAGAGAGGCCTCCTTCGGTGGAGTTGTGGAGGGGACAGTCATGCACAGCCCTGAATTTTTTCCCGCCTGCAGAAAGCGTCAGTCGTTGGCAATCGGCGTATGAGTGAGGTCATGTAGTGCGCTCTCGTCGGATTTCACTAAGCTGGAAAATGACTGAACAACGTGAGCAGCGATATTACATCAAATTTTGCCAAAAACCTTGGCGATACCCGAGTGTAAACCATTCGCAAGATTCAGCAGGCTTTCGGGGACGATCCTCGAGGCCAAAAAAAGCGCGGCAGGTCCGCAGCAATATCAAAGGTCATGTTGACAGTTTTTTCGACTCTCGTGGGGTGGTGTGTCGTGAGTACGCACCACAAGGCCAAACCATCGCAAAGGAGTACTACCAGGAGGTCCTTCGTCGTCTTTCCGATACAGTGCGATGCAAACGATGGGATCTGTGGTCGATCAAAACTTGGCAGCTCCATCGTGATAACGCATCCGCCCATTCTGCGCATCTGATTCGGGCTTTCGTCGCCAAACACAATACTCCTGTGGTTCGTCACGCTCCGTATTCTCTCCACATGGCTCCGTGTGACCTTTGGCTATTTCTCAAGCTGAAAATGCCGCTAAAAGGAACCCAAATTTAGTCGAGAGAAGACATCGTGCGAAATGCGACGGACCAGCTGATAACCATTCCAAAAGATGCGTTCCAGCAGTGTTTCCAGCAATGGCAGAAACGCTGGGAGAAGTGTATACATTACCAAGGAGACTACTTTGAAGGGGATTAGGGTTTTGTTCCTCAAAGTCAATAAATTTACTTTTGCCGACCAAAGGTCCGATACTTTTTGAACAGACCTTGTAAACTGATGTAGTAGAAAATTGCAATAGAACATAATTGATTCAGAATAAAATTTTATATTAGGAAATATATAATATTTCAAACTATATATTAAATCTCTTAATTTGACATTTATGAATTTATAATATAATGATATTAAAGGATTTTCAAATTAAATCATACTTAGAAACTCTTTAAACATTAGGATTTATTTAATTAAATTATCTTCAAGTGAGTTAAAAAGGAAATAAACAAATAAAAACATTAGAAACTTATTATCTTAAATATTGTTTAATTTTTAAAGTACAGTGGAACCTCGGTATACGACCTTAATCTGTTCCTGATGTTTGGACTTATACCGAATAGGACGTATACCGAACCAACTTTTCCCATAAAAAGTAATGTAAAAATGATTAATCCATTCTCATGTAAAAAAAAATGGCTGGCTTTAAACATCTCGCTTTCCTGGCTAGTTCCTGCTTGATTTTTCATGAGATCAGCATGTATCTTTTTAGCTTTCTCGCAAATAATTGCTTCTGATATGCTGTTGCCAGCACACTGTTTTTCAGTTATCCAAAGCAAAAGCAATTTCTCACATGATCTAATGTCTTCGATCTCTGTTTAGAAATTGATTTAACCCCTTTCACAACTTTAGCAGATTTAATAATGTCTTTATTTTTCACGATTGTTGATATCGTCGTTCTCGGAATACGGTATGCAACAGTTAAATCTCGAACACACATGCCACCTTCATATTTCTCAACAGTCTCTTTTATCAGTTCCATTGTGATTATAGTCATTTTTTTAGTTTTCTGTTGCTTTTCATTTGCCTTTTTGCAATTCATGATTAATAAAAATAGTAAAATTTTACTTACAAATTAAAATCAGAAGAAATTTAACACAGTTATAGACTGTGGCACCGCAAACGTCTAGTCTGGCCTAGTACACCGATAGTGCTACTTGTTTGTAGATGGTGCATATAATTGAATTAAGTCGTATACTGAACAAAAGTCGTATACCGAGCAAAATTTGTTTCGTCCAAACAGGATGTATTCCGAATTGGACGTATTCTAAAGCAGACGTATACCGAAGTACCATTGTATATTTATTGTTTTTTGCTTTTTGCACTTAATTTCATTGAACATTTCTACTAACTTAAATCAGTTATTTCTGTTAGGACTTGTCACACCAATGGATATGAACACAAAATTTATTATACATTTAAGTTTAAAAATGAAGAGATTTTACAACAATAATTAAAACTAACATGTATATAATACACCAAAAATGTATTTCAGACTTTAAAATAGTTTTTCTTCAGTTGGTGTTTCAATTAAACTCTCAAGATAAAATATACATAAAAGTTATATTAAAAGGCCAAAATAACAATGAAGACATCACTATTAAGATACTGATGTTATATTACAAGTGCTGTACAATAATTTTTGTCTTAAAAGAACATATTAATGCAATAAAATATAATATACAAACTTCAGCTGTAGCAAAACACTGTAATTTAAATGGATGTGAAATAGAAAAAAAATTTAATAAAAGCCATAAAATTTGAAACAAGTATTAATAAACATAAATATTATGAACATACTGAAATTTTAAAAGTTAAAAAAAAAAAAATTTATGATAATTTGGGTGTAAAAATAAATGAATATTGGCATGATTATATTAGTAAAAATAAAGATTAATTAATGACATAAAATTGATTATGTAAAATGGTGTATAAATATGCAAATTGCTGTACTGTAATCACTATTTCTCCAGGATTTGATTGTAAAAGTGCATATTAATATTTTTTTCATTTGGTGTAATGTTTCAATCACTGCTGGCCTGAGCAAAGTCAGCAAATACCTTAGGCAAATGACTTTGACATCGCCCTTTTAAAAAAAATTCGCAACAATATAAAACACCAATGTAAAATAGAGTATCTATTTTACATTGGTGTTTTATATTGTTAAATTGTTTTTATTCAATATGCAGCACAAAATATTGCGATCATGAGACTACGGTGCTACATTCAAAATGGCAACTTGCGGGTCAACACATGAGAAAGGATTGTGATCAAAAAACATTTATTTTTTTCATTATTTATTGTAATTTATGCATGTACTTTTGCCATGCTGCCCCCTGAATTCAAGCACCCTAGGCCAGGGATGGCAAACCTTTTTCTGTTCGCGTCCATATTGTAAGCATACTTAGCTTTAAATATGTTTATGCATGCCAAAGTTTCAGACTTCGAATAAAGATATTTAAAGAAATTAAAACGAATACGCTTTAATTAGAATAAATGTAAAAAAGCTGATTGAAAAAAGGGATTATCAGGTGATAAACCAAAAAGATGATTGAAAAAGACAGAAATCGTATGATACATTACATGCCAGATGATTTCTCCTTACGTGCTACTTTGGGCACGCGTGCCATAGGTTCGCTACCTCCGCCCTAGGCCATCTCCTAGTTCGCCTATATAAACAGGCCAGCCCTGGTTTCAGTCAATCCTTCAGAGGCATCAATTATAAATATTGTATCCATTACTTTATTGTTTAATACTTAAAGTGGTCTATAACTGATTATAATTAATTGTGTGTAGAACTCTCTATGGTTAACTTGGTTATTAAAAAAAAACAAAATAACAGAATTTATTGTACAGCACTTGTGATATAACACCAGTATCTTAATTATGATGTCTTCATCGTTATTTCAGCATTTAATATAACTTTTATGTTTTCTTTATCTTGAGAGTTTAATTGAAACACCAACTGAAGAAGAACTATTTTAAAGTCTGAAATACATTTTTGGTGTATTATATACATGTTAGTTTTAATTATTGTTGTTAAATCTCTTTGTTTTGTAAACTTAAATATATAATAAATTTTGTGTTCATATCCACTGCTGGTGTGATAAGCCCTAACATAGATAATTGGTTTAAGTTAGTAGAAACGTATATTTATTATTTATAAATCCACAAGTTATTCAATGTATTAGTAATAACTATTTATATTTTTAAAAAAATTTAATAATTATATTCTTAATAATGATAAATAATAATGATAAAGCATCATAAATATTATTAAAAATGAACTACTAATAAATTTTAAAACATTCAATTTTTAAGTAATTCTAATGGTTTAAGTAATTTTAATGGTTGAAAAAATTCTGTTTTACAGTAATATAAAATTTAAAAAAAAATTTAATTTAAAAATAAAAATAAAATGCAAAAAAGTACCATTTAACAAGTGGCTTAGGAATTCCAGTAATACATGCTGTAAATTTAGCAGAACTTCCTTCTAAAGCTTCAATATCAATAAGTCTTTTCAAGAATATAGGAGCTTCTCCATGCTCAGCAGTATCACTAGGAAATAACAAAAAATATATTTTAACAATTATAATAAAAATTTATAAAAGTATTTAAGAATTATTATTAAATTTATAATAATAATGATTCATTTAAAGTGCTTAACATCATGCATTTTTATAAATTGTTGTGATTTGAAAGTTTAAAAAAAATAATAGAGAAGGATAATTAGCCCAATATAAAGAACAATAATGTTGAAATAATGTTGAACAATAATGTCAAATATATTAATTTGCAACATTTTTAATGAAACTGCCGCAAGTCAGTATATTTCATATTCCTTTCTATCATTATTTGTTCAATTATTATGTGCACCTCTTTAGACTACTTCTTTACAGTAGAGAGTTTTCTATTAATAACCAATTAGCATTTGAATTAAATAGCCTATACTTTTAGCGATGGCTTCATTTAAATCAGGGTTTCTCAAACTTTCTTTTCTGTGGTCTGGTTATTTTTATACTTCTCATTCATGACCCACTAAAACTTTTATCACCTATACTGGCCTATAGGTAAAATAAAACAGATTTGAATGTCCATACAGTTTTCATATATTATAATAAAGAATCATTTACTTGTACACAAATGTAAACAACTGAAACTAAAACCAAATATTTTATTAATGACAAGAGTGATGCTGTTTCTTGTTAACTAGAATCTTCAGATTTAGAGAAAAAAAATGATAGCTTTATTCTTAGACCCGGTTCAACTTCCAATTGATTTCTATATTTATTTTTTAAGAAAAGTAATGTTGAAAATCCTGCTTCACACTTATAGATTGTGACAAAAAACATCAGAAATTTTATCACTTTTTCTTCTAAAACTAGGTATTCCTGACAACAAGACAGCCAAAAATCCATCAGTAGTATTCTGTTGAAGATGTCTTTGAGTGCCATATCACACAACAGTTCAACTATAGACTCAATATCTGAATCCAACAATTCTGTCTTGGATTCTACTTTCACTGTAAAAGGGTTCATTACCCATGCTTTGATACTGTTGATAGGGGGAAAATATTCTCCAGACTTGTGTTCAGTCCTAGCAGATGTTCCTTGATAGCAGCTGAAATTTCATCAGGCTTGAAACTCATGTTATACTCTTTTTTTGTAATTCTGTTAGCTTTGTAAAAGCTTTGTAATTTCCTGCTTCCACACAATGGAATCACTAATTGAATTTATTCAATGCAATTACCACTTTCTCTTGCACTTTAAATACAGCTACATTGTAATGTGATTCAAGCTTACTTCCCAAATGGAAAAGTCTGACCCAATCTACAAAAATGAATTCCCCAATCTATGATGATTCCATCCAAGAATACCTACAATAAACTGTACTTTTACCTTGTAATCCCTCTAATGGAAATTTTTGAAGAATTTTTTCAACTGATTTATTGAACTTCATTGTTGAGCAAAGCTTGATTTAGCAGCACAAAAAAATAATCCAAATTTTACTCTTGATATAAATGAATTGAAAATATTCATATCACCATTCAAATTCCAAAAGTTGTATCTGATTATAATAAATCAATGGGAGGTGTTGGTATGCTTGATAAACAGATGTCTCTCTTCAGAACAAGGATCCAGGGAAAGAAGTGGTCGTTTCCCATCTTTACATGAATGCAGCTTCCTGCAAGTGACCTTGTAAGGAAGCTGCTAAAAGAAACAGTGAGTGAAGATCTGAGGTACAGTCGTGGAGGTTCTATTTTTGGAAATATAGTTTAAACTATATAATACCACAATAAGTGTTTAATCAAAAATATAGCAACTCATGGATTATAACAGAAAATCTGTACTAGTCACATACGTAGAAAGTCATAAAATGAGCCTTTATAAAAATAAGGTCTACTTCATATACAATACATAACTTTTTGTGAAACTATATATAATTTTAATTAATTAAAAATTGATCATTATCATAATAATTATAATAATTAATTAAATACCTAATAATAATTTTAGCAGAACATTTTTCTTCTCCTACTACATTTTTAGCTTGGCATTCAAATACTCCAGAATCTCTTCCTCTTGGATAAGGTATATTTAAATGGCATTGATCTCCTTCCCTTGACATTGAATATTTAATGCCAGGATATAATAAATCTCCATTACGATACCATTCTATACAAGGTTCAGGAAAGCCACTAACTCTGCAAGTCAACCTTGCAGGTTCTGTAGTTGGCACCTAAAACAATAACAATATCAAACAAATATAATTTTAATAATATACTTTTAATAACATATTTTTAATTTGTGAAAAACATTTCATAATTGTTGTAAAATTAAATTCTTTTCTATCTGTAAAATAATATGTTTCAACATGTTGACAACACTGTTCCTCAGCCAGTTTTAGGAGAAAAAAATTAAATTTTTGTGTTTAAAGTGCTGCTCTTTTCTTCATACAATTTTATAGTCAATACATAACAATGACTTCATAATTTGATTTAGAAACACACTTTTAAAATCAATGTTTCCATTGCAATATAATTTCTTATTTTGTACTAGAAACTTTAAACTCAAAATATGTAATAATTTGATTTAATAATAATTTATGATTGTAATAATTTATAACAATACTTTTCATATGGAATTTACTATAATATCCTTGCAATTTAATACTGAACCATAATATTTTACAAATAACAAAAAAACTGGATTAACTGTGATTAACAATCAACTTGAAGTAGGTGTAGATTACATGTTAATTTTAGATTGCAATTAACATTTTATATCAAAATATTCATTTCATTCTCCTTGAAATGCCTGTTGTTTTAGCTAGTTAAAGATATTAATTAGTCTTCCAATTTCAACAATATAACAAATATTCCTTTACTAATTCCAAACAAACTGCCAGATTATTCATCAAGCTGTAACAAGTCCAATGAATAATCTGGTGGATAGTTTGGGATCAGTGCTTGAATTGGGTTGACATTTATGTTAAAAATTCCTTTATTTGACATTTCAAGCACTAATTTAATGTTTTTTGTGGAAATAGAAGATGTAAAAAGTTTCATAGTAAATTTTGCTTAAAGTAATATGATACAATTAATTATTTATTTATTAGTAACAAATTTCCTACCTCCATATCAACCAACTTTTGAATAAATTTTGGAGCTGTGAAACCCATTACTTTTGCTTTAGCTGCAGATATTGCATTTCCTACTCTATTAACAAGATGACATTCATAATTTCCAGCATGTTGTGGATTGCATTTTTTAATCTCCAAAGAAACCTAAAATATATTTTGTAATTTATGTTAAAAACTTATAATGAATATTTAAATTATATATGAAAGTTAAATATACTTTTTTCCCATCAAACATTGGATGAATGTTATTTGATGGCAGAACGGGTTGTTCATCCAAAAACCAATGAACATCAGGTAATGGATTGCCAGAAACTGAAGCCTCAAATTTAATTGTCTCATTTTCTTTTGCAGATACATCATATAAATTGCTTAAAAATGCTGGTGCAGCTTCTAATTCTTTATCAAGTTCTTTTTCTGTAAAATTAATATTACATGTTTAAAATATATTATGTAAATTCATAGATTAAAATTTTTTAATGATTTTTAAAAATTCAAATGAAACTGGGATAAAAAGAATATTTGTAAATTTAATCCAGAACTAATGTTTCTCTTCCTCAATACCTTTTGTTTCTTGAAAAAAGAAACTTAATAGTACAGATATTATTCATATACATATAGTTTTGATTTTGACAAAAATCATTTTTATAATAATAATAAATTAATAATTGACAATTTCCAACTCAATAAAATTAAATAATAATAACTTACAGTTTTAAATATGATACTATTTATTTTATACAGTTATAAACAAGGTACACATAACATATTTAATTAATATATTAATATTCATAAAAATATGCTTTGCTTTTAACAAAAAATATAATATGATGGTGAATCAAAATCAATTGAGAGAGATTCTTTTCTCACAAATAATCATTCTGAGACATAGTGGCTATAATCTTTTTTGACCTATGAATGTATTATTTTAATGAAATTCAATGTACTACCACCTGTCCTTGAAGAAATGTAGTAGCCCATTCTTTGAGATACTCTTCAGAATAAAATCCAATGCTTTGACCACTGCTGCTTTGAAAGAAAAAAAGAGAATCAGAGTGCCAAATGTGGGATATATGATGAATGTAAGCTACAGAAGATGTTTTATTAATTTTTAAAAACTCAGTCACCCAACATTATCATTGTACAGTCACTTATTATTGTCATGGAGATTGGGATGTTTCATGCAAATGTGATCTAACAAAGTGTACAAAACTGATAGATAGAACTGTCTCGTAACTACTGTAAGCAATAGAATATGTTGGTACATTATTCCCTGGCAATCATCACTCTCACAGAAATTTGCAGTTCTATATGCTTTAAGGTTGATTCTTGACTTTCAAAGAATTTTTTGACCATCAAAATGCTATGTATTGTTGAAGAGTGTCTTCAGTATATGCCTATTTCAATATTTCATAAGCTTCCACAGCTATTTTTTCACAAACAGAAGCAAAATTTCAGCCTGCATACTGATCAATCTTCAATTGATGTGGCAACAGATGACATATGCTCTAATGGTCAAACAATTATTTGGTCAAATGATAGTCAAATACAGGTAGCCCTTGGTTTATGCTGATTCACAATAATGCCGCTGCACAATTTGCCGTTTCGCAATGTAATTCCCCAATTTTCCGTATGCTAGACTGATTTTCATTTCAGTGTTGACATATTTACCAATCTGCCACATTGTATATTCGTTAAAACAAAGATTTTTATTGAATATATTTATTTTTTAATATTATTGGATATGTATACATTTGCATTAAATTAATATTAAAATACTAAACGTTTAGGTACCCATGAGTCAAGTTATTGAACTTAATAGTCCAATAAATGGCGACTGAATGTATAGCGCCAATGAATGTATCCCATATCAGTTCATTCAGGAAAACACCTTACAACGCAGGAGCACTTTTGGCAATCAGAAACTATCGTTAGTGAGACAAATCTACTTCTCATTGGCCAGACAATACTTTTTTATTAGCCAGACGATATCTACTTCTTGTCAGTCAGAGGATATCTATGTCTCCTTAGCCACATTTAATTTTTCCACTAAAACTGACCTTATATATGCGCTATGGCAACTGGTGGTTGACCAATCAGTGTCTCTGCTCGTCTGTAGCTCTACGTAGGGTTAACGTATCCTTTTAACTATGGAAAGTTTGACGAATGAACTTTGTGAGTTAGACAATGATTGGGAGTGAAGTGCAAATGTAAAAAGGAGCATCATATTCGACCATATTCCGAAATTCTCAATGAAAGAAAACAAAAATGTAAACAATTGAAGATGGATCCTTTTTTCCGAAAAATGTAAGAAATCTGAAACTAAAATTTTTTAATAAAAACATTTCACTTTATTTTATGATAAAATACATTTTAAAAATTAAATTTATATGTATTTTGTAATATATTGTATTAATAAACAAAATTATTTGCTTATTTTTCACTTATGTAAAACCTAACCCTATACCTCACTGTAAATATGGATTCATTTTGTGCCGACTTTTGTAGGAATGGAACTGAGGAGTAAACTGAGGGCTACCTGTAATTCCATGCAATTATTTGGACATACACATTAATAACCATTCTTTATAGTAATATAAATTCAAAATTTGTTAATACAATATTTTCACAATATGAAAAAATTAGTTTTAATTTCTTTTGTCTCACTCTCATACAATAACACAAAAAAGTTATTATTATTTTCCACTTCCATAAAATTAAATAATACATTTAAATGTGATATTTTTTTATTTAAAATAGTTCTTTAAAAAGCATGAAGCAGGTAATGTTGTATCTTCTTGTATTATTGTTTTGATTAGCAACAGAAAAATTTATTTTATTTTGTGTAGAGCTGGTTTGATTGTGGATGGTGCATACATAACATATTGTAAATTTTGTTTTTTGACAATTTTTTGAATATATTAAATTATTTTGTTAATACATAAATATTTGTTGATATTTGTCATCATCTGCAATTTTATATTATTTTACACTTTCTAATATTTCCAACTTCAATTGTTCTTGTAGAGGTAATTCCTCATCCAGAATATTTGTAGTATCCAGATCATTACAGATGTCTTATTTTATACCAAATAGTGTATTTAACATATCTTAGTAAGTTCTGAATTTTGATTTTAGATGATTAATTAAAAATTATCTCACTTTCTTTATTGTGAACAAAATCAGAATTTTGAAAAAATTTACATGAGATCAGTGGTGGGATTTAGTTGGTTCTTACCAGTTCAGCAGAACTGCTTCCTAAAATATTTTTAATTTGACAAACCAGTTATTAAAATTGTACTTATAATATTTATTTAGACAATTTATTGCAGAAGTCTCCATTTGTATAAGACTGCCAACTTGTATAAGACAGCTGAAGGTGGAATGAAGCATAATGAAAGAGAAAGACTATGTAATAGGGCAATAAGTGTGAATGAGAACTCATTATTGATCACAATCAAGCATGACATTTTCTACTCAACTCATGGGTACAAGTGATAAGCTCTAGGCAAAATAGATGTTTCTGGATCTGGGAAATGCAAGATAATAATATTTCTAAGACAATTTTGGGTATCAATATTAAGACATTGATTTCTATTGCTAAATAGTCCTAGTAAATGAGGGGATAATGATTAATCACACAGCTAATTATCTTCAGATAAAAGCAAAGCAAACTACACCACAAAATATAATAATCAAGAGACAATATGGAAATATCTTAAATTATAGTTTTATCTTTGTTTTTTGTCAAGGATATTTAAAGTTTTTTATCCAGTATTTTTATTACCCTTTTTGTCATGTTAAGAAATATTTTTAACCAATTGTCTGATAAGCTGATTTGTCCTCATTCAGGTACTCGCAGCTGGTGTTGAATGCAATAAGGTCTAGCCATTTTCAATGTTAAGGCTTACCAAATTGTACCAAATCAGGTAATTGTTCTGATTAAACTAAAATAAAAAAAGTAATATAATATTTTTTCCTATCTTATGGGCACTAAAAAATCCTCATTTCATGCTCATTATGAGTTCAGTCAGAATAAATTTGATGGCCAAGTACTGATAGTCCTGCCCAACATAATGTAATTCAAACCACCCAACAAAATTTTTTGAGATTTCAACCCAGACTATAACATGAATCCTTCAAAATGAGGAACAGCTTCATCACTTTCGCCATCTTGTCAGCTTTGGTCATCAATATATAGCATATATATATAACAGATTAAAAAATAAAACATAATACATTATATTTATAAAACATACAAAAAAGGTTACTTACCAATCACTTCTAATTCTCCAGATGCAGTACAGTCACCATAACCATTTTTTGCAACACAACTATATTTTCCAGCATGTTCAGGTTTGCATTTTTCAAATAATATTCCAACAGTTCCATCTGGATTATACAATTTTACATGATCCCCCTCAGTTAAAAATGGTTGTCCATTTTTTAACCTGTGTTATAATAAAATAGAGATTAATTATTATTGTAAATTCTGCACAAAACTAAATTTGTATTAAGTTAAGAATGTGACTATCTACATATACAATTCTTGATCTTTAATGATATATGTATATATGTAATTTTATTTGCTAAGATTCATATAAAATGCAATATTTATCTGAGCATTAAACAAACTTTATTTTTGATAGAATTTTTAAAAAATTTACAGAATATTTAAGAAAATTTGACAAAACAATTTTAAATGGTAATATTAATTAATTTTTAGATTTTCTATGTATGATTTGATAAATGTTAATGATTTATGTGTAAAAAAATAATTATTCATATATGTATACTATTTATCAGGTATCAGAAATTAGACTACTTGCCCACACTAAATTTGAAACTAACACTCACTTCTATGATTAGCAGCTCTAGCTTAATAGAAAACATTTTATGCAAATTAATTTGTATACACCATCAAATGTAATACTGTGGCTTACAATAAGTGGCTTCTTAAAGGAGCAATTCTTTTCATTTATAGACTATTAAACTAGAAAACTGTATTGATATATACAGCAGTAAAATTAGATATGCATTTGAAACATTTGCTAAATTATACTTATGTTTGGATTTTGATTTTGATAAGTAAATTTGTAACTGTGACAAGTTTACAAACAGCTTTCTATAAATGACATCAAGCAATAAAAGAGCATCAGTTTTAGATTTAACATGAGTAAATTTTCTAATTTCTAATGTCTGATGCTATAAAATACTAGTGATGGGCATTAGAATGAAAAATAATAGGTCATTCAATTGTCAAATAATTTTAAAAACATTAAAATTATAATGTATATCATCTATATATATAAAAATGAATGTATGTCTGTGTGTCTGTCTTATGTCCTTCATGCATTACCACACCATTTATCCGATTGCCATGAAACTTTGGGAAGTTGTTTAATATACTCTCGCGCAGGTTTGTGGCATAGTACGATTGCCATAAAACTTAGGAAAGTTTTTTAATACACTCCCGCGAAGGTTTCTGGCATAGTACATTTAACCCACGATAGATGGTGCGCGTTTATACGAGTGTATCGAGACAGTGTGTTCGATCGATTTCAAATTGTGAAGACCATTTCCCCCTATTTCAAAAAATATCTCTATATATGCATTTGTGAACTGTTATTTACGATATTTGTAATAATTTTTGTTTAATCACTTTATTTTAACTTTTTTTGCTAATTATGTATTCGCTCGAACTTTGTTAAAACCTTAACTGTATCCCGAACAACAACCGAAGTCGTAGGAGGAAATTCGCCTATTTTACCGATCTAGGAATCCCCCTTTTCCAAATTTTAATATCGACTCAAAATAATTTAAAAAGACAAATTACAATAAAACGGTTTATTATCCAACTATCAGAAATTTCACAACATGCCAAGGAAGAGAGGAAGGAGCAATTAAATAATTAAAATTATAAAGGATTAAAAAAAATATATAAAAATGGGGAATATCGCACTTCTAACAATCTCTGCGAGTATGTGGGCTAAATTTAAAGAATCCGTGCTTCTCACATGGACAACTGTATGTGGCCAGCTCACGCGTCGGAAAACCTTCTCATTTATTCGTGTACGCACCAGACGAAAAAACAAAAAATATCGTGTATCCACAAGCGCTCCAATAAATAAATAGAATTGAAACGATACTTTGAAATGTTTTCCCGATGAAAATGAATAATAATAATAAGTTTCAATAAAAATGATAAAATGTAAATTGAATTTTATCATAACGAGTTTGCTTGAATTTCGTTTCTTCTGAGATCACAGCAATGCGTGACGGGTAAGCTAGTAGCATATAAAATTGTTTACACATATGTGAGATTCTGGACACACCCCCCTAATTAATTGAAAATCGATGTCAAATATATGAATTTTTAGAAATAATATTTCTGATTTTAAATGAAAGAATTTTAGGTTAAAAATGAAGGAAATTGGTAAAACTGACTTCCTTCTCAATGGAAGTTCGACATCCTTTTTGGTTTCCCTTATCTTTATAAATTTTGAGTTACATACTGTCCAGTTACCCCTCTGTGAACCCCCACTCATCCTTAACATGTGGTAATAATACAATTCTCTCATTGGAGAAAATCATCAAAAAAGGAGATTCTTTAGTATCATTCGACGAGTACGCCAGAAGATCCCAAGGAGGACAGACGTATTCCATATAAGCTCCATATGGCCAATGTCCATATTAACTCCTGAAGTTCATATTAAGTTTATTTCCAAGTTACTAAGATGAAGAATATAATTAAAGAAGTGCCAACAGAGAATTAAAAAGGGACATATTTGTATACAAAAGGAAAGAGAATACTTTGAGGTAGTATGATTTTAACTGAAATTGTAATCTCTCTCTCCGCGATAAATAGATATAATTGAAGCTCCATTTTGTATAATTTTTCTTGTTTATTAAATATTCATTTTTATTGTTAAATAAATGTCTCTTAAATATGCCTGAATCGAAATATTTTATCATTTCCATAACTTTCCATTACGTGTGTAAATCCGTGTAATATAAAACTGATTAACTGGTGTCATTATCTTGACGTTGGATAGAGACTTCACAGTCTATATCCTTTTAATTATAAAGCCCTCCTATAAAGAGTTTTAGAGATCGAATCTTACGATTTTGTGCCAATTAAGTGGTACCAAATTCTATGGAGTGTACCCCCAGCTTATCTCACACATATCATTAAAGATCAAAACCAGCATATGTATAAATAACTAATTGCTTACACATAGTATATAAATAGACACATCCTTGAATTAAATTATAAATAAAGTTATAATAAATAAAGTATAAAGGTATAATCATACAAATATCAAAAATTTTGGATACATATGAAAACTTCTGATCCATTATACCCATTATATTATAGTATTAATAAAAATATTGACTAAATTCAGGTTACACAATAGAACACTGATTATTCAGACTATTAATTAAATGAATCATCATAATTAAGAAATTTGAATTTAGTCTTTAATGCATGCTCTCTTTATTCACTGAAAAAATCCATCCAATATATATATCAACATCCCAAAACTAGATGTATTGATACTAAGCGAAATAATCATCATAATTAATCAGGCTAATATTATGCTATAATTAATAATTAAACACTAGGTAATTTGGTACTACAGATAGATGTTAGGTACCACCTCTTAGGCCATAAGTAACTGAATGATTATATCTAAATTTAAATATGTCTAGAAGCAAAGACTTGCTCAGGGGCTGGATGGTATAACTGGCAAGCACACCACATGGTAAGCAGAGGTTGTGGGTTTAAGTCCTACTCCGAGCTAGTTCTTTTCTTCCAGAATGTTCTAAATTATTAAATTATTATAATTATTAATTTAGATAAGAGACGGTGTCTAACATCTACATCTAGTACCAAGTTACTTAGATCCTAATTATTAATTATAGCATAATATTAGCCCGATTAGTTCAGCGATTGTTGGGCATAATCTATCCAATCATTATTTCTGTCCAATCAAATCCATTTCTAGCTGTTGCTATTGCCATAAGTCAGTATTTGTTTTATTCTGGTTGATTTTCAAATCTATTTTACTTTTTATAGATGTTAAAATATTTACAATAGCAAATAAACAAAAATACATTGTATGACAATGGTGATCAAAGAGTAGGGTTATAGTACATTCTCATTTATGCAAACACATCCTCATTGAAGGGGTAAAAATTACTTTCTGTACAGTACATATTTTTGTGAATTTCCTGTTTTGTCCACATTTCCAGTGAGTAGGCATTTTTTTCTTCACTCTGGTGATATCTCTTGTAAAAAAATGGGAGATTTTTCTCTATTGATAACAGCTTAGTGTTAAATTTACAATTCACAAGTTAGCAAATTACAATTGAGTAGCATTTCCACTTCTGCTTTTACATTTTCAGCATTGGTTTTTCACTTTGCATTTACAGTTTCAATTTTTATTTCAGTTCCAATGTTCATTAGCACTTTCAGCTTAGTATTAATAACTTTTGTTAAGTGTTTACCATTTATGATAATATACAGTTTATCAATCTATCAATAGATTCATTGAAGTAATTGCTAACTTGATACACAATATTAAATTGTTACAGAAAACTAAATCTAATGACAAATACCAAGCTCAATAGTAATTTAAAAGTGTGGATGACCTTTGGATTTTATAAATCACATTATTTTTTTATGTTCTTTGCTAATACGTAGTTTTTTTGAATGTGCCAAAACTCGTTTTTAAACAAAATTGATTAATATAATTTATTAAGTCACAAGATTTCCAAAAATAAAGGTTTATCACAGCGTATTATTGTAACTCCTGTAGTTAGAAATTTTTTCCAGGACTTTATGCTCAATTCTGAGCATCAAATTGGGTGTGAAGTGTCCTCATTTCAAGATTTCACAATTTGGTAACAATATCAAAGAGTAATTAATTAATTTGTTGATGAAGAGATAATCAGAAGAAAATTTCAAAAATATTTTTATTGTTATAATAGTATTTTGTATAAATAAGAATATTTTCCTTAATCTAATCATCTGAAGTTTCAATTATCCTAATTACCTCTGTAATGAAATATAAATAACAAATGAATTGGGTGTCACAAAACAAAAAGTTTATTAAAAAATATTGAAGAACATTAAAAAATAAAAAGTCATATTTATTTATATGAACCAAACTATATAAGTATTTCTCTTATAAAACATTTTGATGCAAAATATGTTTTAAATTTATAATTTTAATCCCATGTATTAGTAAGTTTACTTTGGTGCAATATATCAATATATTTGTAGAAAAGTAGTGTACAAATAAATATCTATTTTTTCATAATAAAAAATTATTTTTGAAATTTTTACAATAAAATATCAAAATTTTAAAATAAAACAAAATATGGGAAACAACTCTATCATTAGATTTCAAACATACTTCTCAGAAATTTTATAGATAAAAAATATTTTTATTATTCTAGAAAACATAATGTTAAGATGATTTTCCTTCAGTATTTTATTTATATATTTACTGTTGTTCATGTAAAAAAATATATAAATTAATATTTTAAAATCAAGCTTTAATGAAAAGCTGGATAATTTTTCCAAACACTTTATAAATCTATTTACCATTCAATAGTTGGTCTTGGTACTCCACTAACTTTGGCTTCTAACTTTCCAGGAAATCCATTAATCACTGTCACTGGCAGCAATGGCTTGGTAAAAACTGGTGGTTCTAAAATATATAATGTATAAATAAAAATGTATAGGCCTATTATAATCATAGAAGTAAATTTTTAAAAAATAGACATAAAAATTTTTAGATTCAGTATATTGTTTAATATTTATAAATTTTTTGGCTATATGATGTTTTAATTTTTAAAAAATTTCATATATAATGATTATTTTATTTTAATCATAATATATTTATTACTTTTGGACGATTGTTGTTTTTATGTTTTCAAATTTTACTAAAAAAAAAAGCAATATATTTGTTATTTTTTATTTAATAAAATTAAAATTACATGGGTAGGCTGAAAAGTAATGCACACATGCTTGTAGAATACGAACAAAAACAAATAGCAAGATTGGGCAAAAAGTACATTAAAGTACAATTTTTAAGCTTCAAAATCATATATTTATTTTTAAACATAGTCACCGTTAAGGCTAAAACATTTCTCCCAATGTGTAACAAGTTTTTTCATTCCGTCACTGAAAAATTCTTCTTACTTTTCTCGAATCCAAGTCTTAACAGCTGCCTTCACCTCATTGTCTGAGGTGTAATGATCACCCTTGAGGTCTCTCTTGAGTAGAGAAAAAAAATAAAAATCGCAAGGCGCAAGATCAGGGGAATAAGGAGGATGTGGAATCGGTTCAAACTTCACATTTCACAGAGCCTCTCCAATTGCACGCGAGGTGTGTGGATGAGCGTTGTCATGTTGCAAAATTATTGGCACCAGGCTGCCTCTAACATGACAAACTGAACGTTGGGGGTGTTCTAGAGTCCGTATGTACTGAAAAGAATTAAACATTGCAACGAGGGGCAACGATAATCGTCTGTGGCAGTGATCGGATGTCTGCTACGTGTTTCATCAACGATTATGGCTTTTCCAGGCTCGCAACCATGAAATTTTATTATCCATTGATTTACAGCAGACCTATCAACAGCATTGTCACCATAAACAGTCTTTTAGCAACGATGAATCTCAGGAAAAGTCACTTTTTCAGCAGTTAAAAATTGGATAACAGCACGCTGTTTAACTTGCGTTGACATAGCACTAGAACACATCTCCATATTTCCGCTTCTCAAAATATACTGAATGAACACAACAACCTCAAACTGCACATACGCATAGAGGGGGAATGTTGCTTCCATATGCCACCTGGCACGCTTCTGAAAATCATTTCATTCGTGCTCTACAAGCGTGTGTGCATTACTTTTCAGCCTACCCTCATATATTATAGTAATTTTTATCATTATCATAATTAACTCTAATAAGTAACTTATGCTACAATAAAATTTTGTATCTAAATTAATTTTAAATACAAAATTAATGTCAATTGGTATTTAAAATTTTCATTAGGAAATTTCAAATGACTTACGATTAACTGTTAAAGGAGCAGAGCTTCTTGTTTCACCTTCATCATTTGCAATTGCTAAAGCATATTTTCCTGCATCCTTGGGAGTTACTTTTAAAATCTGTAGAGAAATGGTGCCATCTGGTTCTTCAATTTGTTTAAAATTACCTGTTGGTTTTAATTCATTGCCATCTTTTATCCTAAATATATAAAGAAAATTTAATTAAAAACTTGCTGTATTTCAGACATAATTAATAAAAGTATTTTTTAGATAATTTTTAATTTTCATATATTTCTGAAGGTATTATTTATTATTTTAAAACATTAATTCTGAACATATTTGAACTGTAAATAAAATTATCTGAGTTTTTTTTAAAGTTATAATCTTTATTTTTAATTGTGTTAATTTATTTTGCTACTTTAATTCTAATGTGCATTTATTTATATATTTATTCATGTTTCTTGTATATCAAAATTTTTCAAATACAGTAGAACCTCGATTATCCAGACCTCTATTATCTGGATTTTCAATTATCCGGATTGTTCAAAATAAACAAAAATTTTACGAATTTGCTGATTTGCACTTGGCGAATTACAACACTGATGTACTTATGTACGTGATGGAATGCATAACTTTTTTGGTTTCAACAACGTCTCACCCAGCACAGTGATCGTAAACTCTAAAAATATAACTTGACATACATATTTATACTTTATATTCAAATTACATCATTTCTATGACCAAGGGTGGCGTAAGGCATGGGCAACGTGGGCCACTGCCTACGTCTCGCAGTCCGAAGGGCCTCGTGTATCGAAGGTTTATGCATTACTTAAAGGCCGCGAATGCGACGAAAAAATTTTACTTGTCATAAAATGATAAATAGTTTGTCAAATTTTTATTCATAAAAATGCAGTTTCAACTGCTTTTTATTTTATAAAATCCATCTTCTTGTGCCACCAGAGGGCCTTTTAAACAATAGGTAGTCTGTTAGCACTGGTCAGTAGTAGTCCAAATTCAATAGAAACAATTGTTTCTTGAAAATTTGATCACAATTTAAATACAGTATTTACTTTTAATATTACCGATATGTCATCGAAAAGAAAAAGTGTTGTATTATCATTAAAAGACAAATTAAAGTATTTGTTTCGATTATCCGGATTTTTCCTTATCCGGACTACCTTCATCCCCAATTAGTCCGGATAATCGAGGTTCTACTGTATATAAGATTTTAGATTTATATGCTGATGAAAAGGCCAAAAACATAATCAAAACTAATTTGTAACAATGCTTATGAAAAAAAAATTAAATATAGTGTAGTCTATGTTTTTTCCATCAGGTCTATAAAAACTTGGGAAAAGACTTGTTATAAATATGTAGTTTTGAAAAATTAGATATTTATATCAAGTACTATCAATTACTTTTTTTGCACTTTCAATTTCTAATTATCTTCAACTCGTTCCATCAGTATATTTAGCTACTGTTCCAGTATTTTAGGTCCAAAAAAAAACAATTGGTGCTTCTGTAGAAATTATTAATAAATGTTTTTGCTAAAAAAAATATTGTTGTTGTAACACAAATTTAAAATTTGAATAATTATTATTATTATTATTTTTTTAATTTCTAATTTTAAATTGTAGCTAAAGATTATTTTAAAAGACCATGTTATTTTTTTATTTAACAGGTCATCTTAATATTGTTTTCAACAAAAAAATATTTATTGGTGATATAGTAAAAACTAATTCAAAAATTAAGAAAAATTCATTAATAAATAAACTTTAAAATTAGTAATTTCAACACTACCATTTAATTTTTGGTTTTGGTTCTCCTGATATTTTTGCCTTCAATGTTACAGAATCACCATCATTGCATGTAACAGGTTGCAAATCAGTTAGAAATTCAGGTTTCTTTTTAGCAGGAACTAGAAAAATAATAAATATTAAGTTTTATTATTTAAATTATCTGTAAATGTGCAATAAATCTTGTGAAATATTTTCAAATTATTCAAATAATTAAATAAATTAATAATTAAGAAAAAAGTTACTTAGGGATTTAAATAATAACCTCTGCAAACAGAGCAGATACATTATCAATTATATTATCTAAACTATAAGTCAACTTCCTCTTTATACATACACTGATCCCCATGTTTGTGAATAATTAGGACAAAGTAATCCTTCATTAACATCAAATTCTCAAATTTCTATTTTTGATGTTAAATTTGTAATTTGTTCCAGGACTTTATGTATTATTGCTATTTTTTAAAAAATTTCAGAAAAATAAATTATTTTATTAAATAAATATAATGTGCAATGGGGTTTATGGTTTATAATAAGAAAAAAGTCATTTTATTTAAGCCAAAAAATAAATAAATAAATAAATAAAGCAATAACATATCTTAGACACCATACAAATGAGGAATGCAGCAGTCTTTTAGCATTGTGTGCTGGAATATCCAGTTTGTGCAAGTGCTAACTCAAGTTATTTACTATTTCTCTAAAGGTTGAAACTTTTCATGAAAGTTGAAATTTTGGTGCATAAATTTCCAATCAGGAATGATCAAATTCCCAAACACTAATGTCCACAAACATTGAGCATAATGTATGTATATATAAAATTTAGAGAGATCATATAACTATATTTTTCTTTATAGCAGTGATTATTTATAATCATATTTTATACAAAAAGTCTGTTAATCTATTATCTAGTAATACATGGACAAGACAATAGGTTAAAATAACTAATATGATTATACATAAAAAAATCAGTAAAATGGAATTGAGCTGAGTATATATTTTAGTTAGAGAAACAATGAGTTGACAAAACTCCTTCTAAACTAAAAATTGGTGGAACAAAAGAAAGAGGATATCTAAAGAAAATGACTGAAAGATGAGTTTTGCCCTCATTATAATATGAGGGCAAAACGGAAAACAAATACTAAATACAAGAGCAGAATAAACCTGAAAATGCTTATCTTTAGTATTAGATTGACAAAATAGCAAATGATGACAACAATATAACTGTATACTTACTGGTAAATACAGTGGAACCCTGGTTAACAAACTTTTATTTTGCAAAAATTTTGTCTCAGATAACGAACTTAACGGCTTTTTGTGTCAAATTTGTAAGCTTGCTTTCACGAAACTTTCTGAACCACTTATGACACGTGGAATCATCAATGGCTCCCTCACCATACACAGAACATATTTTTTTGAGTGTCTGCAAAGCATTCGTGCCTTTTCAGAAATAAAAAAGCATAATATGTCGAAAATTCTCCTTATTTTCTATCTTTTGTAATGCTTAACAAAATTTTAAAAACACAACTAAGTAACACAACTTTACTCTCAAATACTAGCTGAGATCCCTTTTGTCAAACAATATTGAAATTTTACACATGTGAAGGAAATAACACTTTAGTGTTGCATTTTTAGCCAGCTGGTGCTAAAAATGGGACGAACTTTTGCATCAACCCAATAGTTTCCAACCGTTCTGGAACCTCGCAAATTTCAGTTGCTCTTAGGCATGTGCGAGGTAAGCATTGCTTTTTCGAGTGTGCTAAACTTCGTTTTTTAGTTTTGTTATTTACACTGTATATTTAATCAATATGGCACTGAAGAAAGAGAAAAGTGACAGTGAAAATAGAAAACGTTTTAGTGTAGCATTAAAGAAAGAAATTATTGCAAAATACGAGAATGGCATTTGTGTTTCTGACATCGCTAAAGAATATAATATTTTTAATATAAGCAAAATCGAATATCTCTACAATTATTAAAACAAAAAAGCATTTAAGGCTGCCAAAGTGTCAAAAGGAGTGAATGTGATATAGAAACAAAGATCTAAAGTTTTAGATGAAGTTGAAAAACTGTTGCTAATATGGATCAATGAAAAGCAACTTGCTGGAGACAGTGTTAGTGAAGCTATAATTTGTGAAAAAGCTAAAATTTATACAATGATTTGTTGATCCAGACACCCAGTACAAGTGCAAACAGCGAGCCAAGGGTGGTTTGATAGGTTTTGTCGATGAACTGGCATTCACAGTGTCATAAGACATGGGGAGGCTTCAAGTTCAGATGAAAAAGCAGCAAAAGCATTTGTAGATGAATTCGCAGAGCTTGTAAAAAGTGAAGGATATGTCTGGAATCAAGTGTTTAATTGTGATGAGACCAATCTTTTTTGGAAAAGAATGTCTAGATGAACATACATAACCCAAGAAGAGAAAGCACTTCCTGGGCACAAGCCATTGAAGGACAGACTCGCTCTTTTATTTTGCGCTAATGCAAGTGGTGACCTCAAAACCAAGCCACTTTTAGTCTACAACGCTGAAAATCCCCGTGCCGTTAAGAGCAAAAATGTGATAAAGTCCAAACTGCCTGTACAGTGCTAGCGCATTTTAGAAAAATTTTGATTAAGAGAGTAAGACAATCAACTTTAGACTAATTTCTTGTTCCTTATCAAAAGAGACCGTGACATGAAGAAACTCCCGATGCAGTGCTACATGATATTTTTATGGAGGGGATTCCTCTTCCAAGCATTAAGCTCTGTAGAAACAAAGGTATGTACAGTGCTTCTTTATTAAATAAAGTTTACATATTTGTTGCTGTAATGATAGATACTACATTTTCTTATATTTTCATCAAAGAAAACACATTTTACAAATAAAATTACAAAAATACTGACAGCTAGAACGGATTAATTGTATTTGCATTTATTTCTATGGGAAAATTAGCTTCGGTTAACAAACGGACTTGTGGAACGATTATGTTCATTAACCGGGGTTCCACTGTATCTATCTCAATCTAAATATGTATACTCAGCTAACTGTAATTAGTACCCACTTTCAAATAATCAAATAAATTAGAAAGTTATAATTAAATTAAAAAATTCTAGATTGTAAATTCAAATCCTATTCATATTTAATTTTTAAAATATATTTTTATTCAATGATTGCAATATTAAATTTTAATTTCAAAACATATCAGAAATTTAATTTTAAACTTGAATCTAATGTATATTAATTTTCTCATTTAAGCAATTAAACATTTTAATCCAAAAGTTTTTATAGTTTTATTGTTGTAAGGTCCAGAATGGAATTTGAAATTAGATGTTAAAATGTTAATGAATATCTGACAGGACAGTTAAATGCTCACCTTTCAAAAATAAGGATGACACAATGTCTCACAAAGACTACTAAAATTTTTTCTTTCAAAAAAGTAAACAAAAGGCTGGAATTACAAGGGAAAGTTTTGAAGTTTGGAGGAATACTATCTGATCAGTGTTGGGTTGAGCATCAATAACGACCTCTCCTGCAACCCAAAAGATTTTGAATTGTCATCTGGAGACAAGGGTGGACCAATCAGAAAGCAATGAGGGATACTATCATTCAATTGGAATGCAGAATTGAGAAGAGAACCCTTTAAAAACTTGTGTCTCAAGGACATGACGTTCTTTTCTCACTCTATGACCCAAGTTCCAAGGAATTAACCCATAAAAACATATCTCATTTTGAAGCCACTCTTTCTACTAAGCCATTGCTATTCAGAATATGATCCAGCCATCTTAAAAGTTTAAGTTCCTATTGTCCTGCCTCAGTAGACAAACACCTTAACTAATCTGAACTTTTCACTTAATCCACAATTTCACCAGATGAAATGAGTTCCAGGGCCATCAACCCATAAGACATAAATGCCAAGAGACTGATTGACTATATTCATAGCAACATTCAGACTTTCTATAGACTCTCTCCTCTGACTGACTAATCAGAGTTGAATCCTTTGTAGGCAAAATTAACAAAATCTTGTGTGTATGTATTTATTTAATTAAACAAAATCAAACTATAAATGATAAGCCTGTCTCAGTGTCTAAATCACACTCACATACGACCCTCTCAACCCCTCAACCATCCCGACAATCACAACCTATCAGCAACAGTACACTGGTGTCAGAAGTGCAATTTCAAACCCAAATCACAAGTAGTACCACCCACCAGGATTATGAAAAAGCCAACAAAAAAATTAAAAAAAAAAAACTAGGTTCAAAGTATAAATGATAAGACTGTCTCAGTTTCTAAATCAAACCCACGTACCATTTTCTCAACTCCTCAACCATCCCAATTATTCCATCCAGTCACTGACCTTATATTTAATAATTTTACTACAAAGTATTTAGAAAATAATAAAAATTACTTGAAACATCATTTCTTGTTAATTTTAAATGGAAAAGTTTTGTAAATAATGATTTCCTTTCAGCTAAAACAGCAATGAGTCAAATTGCATTATAGATCTAAATTTATATCAATATGAATTTTGTAATTATTTTTAATATTTCATTTCTTTTATCTTCATAGTCAATGTAATATGGATTTGAAGGTTTTAAGTTCAATAAATATATGAGAGAAATATAAGTACCATTCTAATAATTCTATTATTTTTATAATAGAATTATTAGAATGCTACTTAAACAGTTACAATATTAATCAAAGAGTAATTATAAACTCTTAAAGATATTTTTAATAATCACAATAATTTATAAAACAATATAAAATAATGACATTAAATTATGCTATACTGTGTTATAATATTGTCATATTTTCATAATAAAAGCTAATCATCTTCCAACACTTTCTACCAGCATTTTTTTCTGTTTTTATGTAAGAATTTATTTATAAACACAATTTCAAAACCACTTTTTAGATTAAATCTAAGTCTAAGCATTTTTTCTGAGTATGTCATTATTCAAATTAAAGTATTGGGTTGTTCGGAAAGTAAGTTTGTTTTTTTCTCCACTAGACAGATTAGTCATATTTTTCCCCCATTTTCGTTCTAAACCGCATTATCATTATATATTTTGACAGCTAGCATTTTATGGATTATTTGTAAAAAATTTTGTTTGATTTCATGCAATTGTTTATTTTTTGTGTCCCATCAAATATGGAAGATCGAAAGCAGCATCTTCGGCATATTTTGCGGTTTTATTACCAAAAAAATAAAAATGCCGTTCAAGCAAGAAACAAATCATGTGACATGTATGGTGGAGATGTGTTGACAGAACGACAGTGCCAAAACTGGTTTACAAAATTTCGTTCTCGCAATTTCAGTATTGAAGATGCACCACGTTATGGATGGCCAATTGAAGCCAATGAAAACAAAATAAAAGTACCGATTGAAGCAAACTGCGGAATAACAACACGTGAAATCACTAAGAGATTAAATTTGTCAAATTGAACTGTTTATGAGTACTTGAAACAAATTGGTTTCATTTCAAAGCTCAATATATGAATTCCACGAGTTCTTAAAGAGAAATGCTCTATTTGGTGGGTAATTAAGGAAATTTTTTTTGGAGCTTTTACCAGACAATTTAACAATTGATTCGAAAGTGTACTGCATTCGAGTAAACAAATTGCATAATATCATCAAACAGAAAAAGCCGGCCAGAATTGATAAAAAAAAACAGGTGTAGTGTTTTACCACAATAATGTCAAATTTCACACAAGTTTGGTAACTTGTCAGAAACTATTATAACTTAGATGGGACGTGCTATCACACCAACCGTATTCGCCAGATTGAGCACACTCAGATTATTACTTGTTCTGATCTATACAATTTTTTTTAACTGTAAGACATTTACTTGAAGTGACAATGTCAAAAATCACTTGGATCGGTTTTTTGTAAGCAACGATCAAAACTTTTATGAATGTGAAATTGTGCTACTACCAGAAACGATGACAACAGGTATTTGACCAAAATGGTCAACATATAATTCAACAAAATATTTATTTATTATAAAAATATTGCGTTTTTTTCAATGGAAAAAAAACGAACTTACTTTCCGAACAACCCAATAATATCTAAATAGATATATATGTTTTTAAAAGTCAGTATTGATATTTTTTTGTAATTTAATATTTGCATCACATAAAATACAAACCAAAAAGGCATTATTAACAAGTGAGATGGAAAATTGTTGATAAAATGATTTTTTTAAGGTAAATTAGATAAAGTTATAATTACCATTCATGTCAAGACAAGAGGCAAATCTAAGAGCAAATCTGAGAAAAGCAATTTTTAATTTGTGTAATAATATAAACCATATAAATATGTACAATTTTTATTGTTTTAACAATTACTTAAATAAATTAAAGTACACAAACATAAAAATTTAAGCCAACCAAATAAAAGATGAATAATCTGCCAAGTGTTTAAAAAAGTGTCACTACATTGTGTCTATGAAAAGTAAAATAAAAATAAAAATTTAACAAAATTGAAAAGCAATGTTAAAATATTAAAAAAAATAAACATATTATATTCAATAGTGAAGTTTAACATAGCAATAAAAAATCTCAAAGGAGTGATCACCCATCACCATCTTCTCAATCTGCTAACAGTTATAACAAATTTATGAAAGCATCTAGGATGTGATGAGCATCTTAATTGAAATTTAAAATAATATAGCAACACTGTTTTTTTCCAAATTTTATTTTTCTGAATCAGTACCTTAATTATGTGTGAAACAAAAAAGTTTGAAATTTTATTTATATCATTCCTAAATTCTGATGTATAACCCTAATTATATTAACCTACTACATTCATAAAATTCAGGCTAATAAAGGAGATTAACTTCACTTTGATCTTCTGTGTCTATGATATGAAAAGGATCAATTTTAAAGATTCTAAAATTTGTCTGTCTCTAATTACAAATTCTGTGTGTAGTGTCCTTGTAATCCAGATCTTGGTAGATGATCAAACAGCAATTGGTTAGAAAAAATTATGGTTTATTTTATAAAAAATTTTTAAATTATTCAAATGCATTTTGGGTTGGAGACAGGAATGCTACACACAGAATTTGAAGTAAATCAAAATTTTTTCTAACCAATTGCTGTTTGCTCATCTACCAAGATCTGGATTACAAGGATGCTAAACACTAAATTTGAATATACAGAAACCATATCTTCTAATTACAAATATTTTTTAGTAAATCTGTCCTAATTTTTTTTTTACGTTATATTTACTTTAACATGCAATATCTATTTTGAAATAAAGCATACTGGCCTAGTAATATCTAATAAATATTATTTAAATATACATATTAACCAATACAGTTACCTAAAACATCAACAGCAGCAGCATTTCGAGTTTTTCCTTCAATATTAGTTGCTACAGCAACATACTTTCCAGCATCTGAATAATCCACAGAATCAATTTTTAAAGCAATAGTGCCATCTGGTTCTTCAGTCATAGTAATATTAGATGTAGGTCTTATTTCCTCTCCATCTTTTAACCTGAATAAAAATTAGTTTTAAATATCACTAAGTAAAATGGAAATATAATCTAAATATTTTATTTAATTCCTACACAAATGTATAGAATTATTTATTTTACAAACCTTAGTTTCCACCATTTAACATTTTTTTAATAATAAAAATAATTACTTCTTACACTTACCATTTAATAGAAGGTTTAGGTTCACCAATTACTTTAGCCTGTAAGACAACAGGTTGGGTTAAAGCAATTTGTTTTGGTTGCAAAGACTGTAAAAATTCTGGCTTTTTTCCTATTGATGGTATTTCCATTTTAGGAACAACTGAAAATTAAAATATTTAAAAAAATTGAATATCTAAAATAATCAATATCAATATAATTTAAATAAGTAAGATTATTTTTAATAAAATAATCTTCTAACAACAGAGCATTAATTATAAATAAAACTATTTGAACTTTGCATGTGGTTTGAAAACTTCTAAAATCAATTCTTTCAAGTGCTAATGATGTTCTGATTTGGAATGCATATATATATGACTTTGATCCATTTCAATTTTGAACATTTCCTTTTTTATAAATTTTTTCTTTCATTATCAAATCAGGTGCATCTACATTGTTTGCCATAATGTCTTATCAAACATAGCCTGCCATGCCTTTGAGATTTGCTTTTTGACCGTGATATTGATAGATAGGCCCTGGCAGTCTGCTTTAAATATCTCAAATGCCTCTAAACTCTTGTTGGTTTATATGGTATGTTTGTTGTATTAGGGTAGCCTGTTGTAGTTCTGGCTTAATCTCATTCTCATTGGCATTTATATATGAACTACAGTTTATAAAAGTTTTGTTATAAAAGTTTATAAACTTTTATAACAAAACTTTTATAAACTGTAATTAATTATAATTATTAATTAATTAATTATAATATAACATAATTAATTAATTATTGTTATATAACTATTCCTTACCTGTCATTAAAGCTTCACTTTTTTCTTCTCCATTGTCAAAAATTATAACAACTGCATATTTTCCTACATCTGATGGAACTGCTTTATCAATAGTCAAAGCAAATACACCTCCAGGTTCTTCAACTAATTTTATATGATCACTTGAAATAATATCTTTTCCATCTTTTTTCCTAAAGTAAATTTATAAAACATTAACTATAAATAAGATTTATCATTGTATACAATATATTATATAATATTTTTAAAAAGTACTAAGACATATGAAATAAAAATGAGCTATTTTCTACATAATGCTTTATAACAAAATGTTTTATTATAATGCATAATAATAATTTAAAGCAATTAAAAAATATTCTGACCAATAAGACTTATTTTTGAATTTCTGATTCATTGTTTTATATATTTATTCATATAATTTCCAAAAATTTATTGATTAGTCCATTAGAAACATTAAAATTTTCATATATATATTTTTTATTTTATAGTTAATTTTAAACATCACTTCAATATTTATTCCATTTTTATTTATATTTCCACATTTTTTTTATTTTTATTAACTTTTAGAGTTTAATTTTATTAATAAATTTAACTTTATTAAATATAACTTGGTTGTAGATAAATTTATTGGTTCAATACAGTAGAGCATCGATTATCCGACTCAATTGGAAACTAGGGTTGGTCGGATAACTGAAAAAACGGATAACCGAAAAGTATGAAAAAATACATTATTAGTATAGTATATTATTATATCTCATGTAATTAGTATATTAGTATATCACTATTAACCTACTTTGTGTTGAATTTTCATCAATGTTAAGCCTAACAAAATTTTTTAAAAATAATAATCGTCGCTATTGTGTCGTTAAAAATTATTTTTAAATTATTTTATTGCTTACAAAACAAACAACCACTCATAATTAGAAAATTAAGCCTTGTTTAAATACTGGCAACCCTTTCATGGTCGAGCCAGTGCTGCCAGCTAAAACACCAAAAATTTAATGAAAATAATATTAAAGTAGCCAAGACATAGCCAAATATTATAGTGCTGCATCACCAGCAGACATTTGAATTTGCTGACTAGAATGCGGTCAGTTAACCGATGTGATGGTTGATCGGGGGTTGGATAATTGATGCTCTACTGTAGTTGTATTTCAAAGATATTCCAGGAATCACTGTATTTTTGTGCATATAACTCTCAGGTTATGTGTTTAAAAACAATTTGAAAGAAATGTGGGTTATGCAATGAAGTGGGTTACCAACTTTAAATTGCAATAATGATGTAGCACATATGGAGCAATGGCTTATCTCAAAGTCATGAGATATATGGTTAAACAAATATTTTAGTTTTGTTCTATCAATTTTCTGTAGGAACATACAGCATCACACATTATATGCCTGAAAATATGATAATTTATAAGTAAATTAAATAACTATAAGCAACACTTATGTACATTTTCCTACACCTAATATTATATTTAATAAATTCAGTTATACATTGTAAAGAACATTAGATATCTAATGGAGTATATATATTATTTATTTGAATTTCTTTAATGGTAAAGGAAATATATCCTACACACACCCTAACAACTATGTATATAATTTTAATTAAATAATGAAGATATGATTGGATATTATAAGATACATCTATAAATTTATAATTTATGTAGGTACAGTTTCACAGAATGTAATAGTTGACACTTTGAATAAAATGCATCTAAGGAGAAAATATATTTTTTACTAAAATATATATTGTGATTGAAGTATCAAACAAGTGAAACAGAGATTGGGTAAATCAAGCATTATTAAAGTTTATTTAGTTATAGGAAAAATTATATTTTTATTATTATTAATTATTCCTTAATAAAAAATATTAATAATTTTAATGAAATTTATACAAATTAATAACAAATTTAAAATGTATAAATTTCGTTAGATTTTATAATACTGATAAAAATATTATTTAGGCTAATTAATAATCCAAAAAAAAGCAATTTGGCTAGAGAATATTTATCATGAGATGGAGGCTTAACTGTTCTACCTTTAGCCAGTTTAAGATGGGTAGTTAACTCTAATTCCATAATTAACTTGTGATCAAATTAGAACATGTCATTTATCCACTCCAATAAAGCAATTCCAGGTTCCTTCAGATTTTAGGTTGCTGATCAATTCTCATTTTTCATTGAAGAGGCAGCTGTTTACTTAGAATCTATTTGAGTTCCTTGATAAATTTGGTTCTAAGTTTACTTTGTAGTGCATTACTAATGGTTCTGATCTTGCTTTCAATCATCTCTAGAAATTTAAAATCAGCTAAGACATATAACTGAAGCTTGTTATAGGCTCATTCTAACTTGAATGTAGTCCTGTACACTTGTCACATCATTAAAATAATGATGTTGAAACATTTTTGCTAGATAAACTTTTTGACTTTAATGCAGTCAGACAGCAAAAAGAAATCCTATAGACATTCATCAGTACCACTCAGTTAAGTCTACTTTGTTTTAAAAAGATGAATTGTTCTTTGTTCTGAAGCTTTCTAGTAGTACATTTCTTAATCTGCCATTACTCAAGGTGAACAATGTGATCTTCTTTTTAAAATGCTTGTAACTATCATTTCTTTTTAAAATGCCTGTAACTTGGGCTTCTTGGAATTTTGTGGCCAAATTATTTTCTACCTTTCTTCTCAAATATCCTCTTCAACAAGATACTAAAATTAGAAGTACACTAACACTTTCAGTGCTATCTTTGTTTCAGTTGTTTTGGACAAGTTAGTGCAGCACTCACCTGCAAATAATCCTCTGTCTTTTTTCCCACATTTGAAGTGATGCAGTTCTAATTGTAAAGTGATATTGTTTATATCAATACAGTACATACTATCATAAAAGGTAAAAATAAATATATCACACTAACCTTATTCAGTTAATTTTTTTTATTGAGATTTTTAAAGCCTGTGCCATGACCTGTCAATAAATTTTAAGGATGAAAAACGACTCTCACGAGCATGGCAGCCTATGTATGACCTGACGCTATAATGGCCAGTGCAGGTTCATATTTTTGGAAATTTAAAATTTTAAAAAATTAATTTAAAAATAAAGCATTTGAAATTATAACGATTAGAATTGGAAGCTAAATCAACTCAGATCACATAAAAAAAAATTTTTTCTAGAACTCCACCTAAAGAAGGTCATAGGATAGACCGAAAACATTTGTGTTACATTTCAAAAATTAACTGCAAAGCTAAATAAGGTTAGTGCGACATATTTGTATTTATGATTATTGCTTTGTTCATTAGATGGATTTTATCATAAAAGGTAATGAAATGTTTCTGAAATGGCTTGTTGAGGAGTCTGAGGAAGAAAATGTAGGCTCCTTCTTTGCAGACAATTAGAGTGAGGATCTCCATATAAAAATCCTGGAAGTGTTGAGAAAGAAATCAGATCCTCCACAGGCAATATCAGTATCAAGAGAAAAGTGTGCATATTACCAAAAAATAAAACATAAACAGGAAAACAGTATCCAAGGGTGTATGTAACATGTAGCCTACTACACTGATCTGCAGATACCACATAACAATCTGCAAAAATTGCCATTTTAAAAATCCAGACTAAACAGATTCAGAAATTGAATAAAAATTATAATTAAGTTTAACAATAATTTCAGATAGCATATTTCTGTTTTTATCAATCTGATCAAATATCAATTTTCCGTTTCTATATTGAAATTACTTTTAATGCATTCTAACTTAAGTAAAGTAAGGTAAACATTAAAATATGCACAGTATAATTCCACTTAATGTGGGGAATGCGTCCATAAACGACAAAGTGCTAAACAAAACAGCGTTAAACAAGGTCATTTTAACAGAGTAAATAGGGATAGCGGAACATGTGACTGAAAATAAAAAATTTTACTTTAATTTTAAGTTATTTTTATATTAATTTTCATAATAATATATGTTAAATAACACATAAACATTGCACACAGAAATTAAAGTTCATTTTTTGTGACGAAGGTCCTGGCTTTTTTGAAATTCTTGTTTTTGTGATAAAGTCGTGCAGTTTCATTTGTCGCTTTTTTTTCTTTCCTTAATCATATGTCAGTAGCAGGAGATCACATCCAAAATGCCTCATTTTGCTTTTGCAGTCCTTTCAAAATCTGGATCATTTACTACAATTTGATCAATGATTTCAGTTATCATTACCAAACTTTTACTAAGGAAATCTGTAGCAAGTTCTTTGGATACTTCATTTTCATAATATTTTCCAGTTCTACATGAATTCCATGTTCTGCCAGTTCTTGAAGGTCATTGTTGATAAGGCTCTCACCAGAAACCTGCTGTAACTCCTCAATATCCTGCTCCGTCTACATCTCCTAGTCTTGCTACATAGATTAGGTTGACAATTTAGTCAACCAAACGATACAGCGATAGGCTCTTCTCATTGAAAATTCTTGGATAACTTCAAGCCATAACTTCTTCCACACTCCGTTCATGCATTTATCAGTTAATTCTTGCCAAGCGAAGTTGATATTTCCTATGGCATCCATGATGTTATATTTTTTCCAAAATTGCACAAAACAAACATAGATTTAAGGAAAGTACAGCACCAAGATGAATTGCCACCTTTTGCTGATTAGTTCATGTTTGGGTATAATTGTATTGTATACAAATCAATGAAATGCTGCGATAATTTGAATCAGCATAAATTTTGAGGGTTTTTTTAGGCTTCGAGCAGACAGCATTATATCAAATCAGCATTAAGCATTTGATATAACTGAATGATTAGCTGTATCATTCATAACAAAACTTCCTGATTTAAGTAAAATTTTTCACGACAAAGCATTAAAAATAGAAAAATTATGAGTCTGGCACTCATCCTCAAGTTATGGCATTATAAATCTGACTGTGAATAGCACTGGGTTAAGAAATTTGCTCAGCAATTTGACTTAGAGTTTAAGGTTGATTTGATAGCTTAGCACCATAATGATAAAGAGAAAAGAAATGCTTATTTCAGAATATCAAAAATTTCTTTTTATTAAGAAATGTTTTTATTTTACTTTAAGAACAGCTTCAGTCAAAAAATTTGAAAAATAAATGACATCCGTTATGAAAGAGCATTAGATCAAACAAAAATTGTTTAATCTGATGCTCTTTTTGTTCAGGACATCCAACATTGACTTTGTTCTGATGTAGACTTTTGCTGAGGATATCCAATAACTAATATCCTTAGCAAAACCAAGGAAAAAATATTGGATATCTTTAACAACTAAGATAATAACAAAACTGAAATGAAACTAAAACAGTTTCAAAAATATAATTTATATATCTAATAAACACATTTTTAAAAGTTGATTTTTATTTAAGAATTTTTAAACAAACTATTAAAAATTGGTATCATTTTTATCAATTTTTAATAGGTATTATATTGAAGTTTAATATTAATTAAATCAAAAATATTTTTATATGCAATCAAATTCTCAAAAAATGGAATATTTAATACTATAATACTTAATAAATTTTAATGTTTTTTTGCATTATGATTTTCATTAAATATTATTTTAGATTAAATAAAAAATAACAAATGAAAAGAAATGTTTACAATTAGTTGATAAATTCAAGATAAAACTAGTACATATAAATTTTCTCATACAGTGAATATTGTGATAGTTATATATTTACATTAAAAATTAAAAAGGACATACCATATAATTATAGGCTTTCCTTCACCTGAAACTTTTATTTGGAATCTACCAGGTTCTCCTTCAGGTACCATAAGTGGTTGTAAACCTTCAACAATTTTAAATTTTGGTGCTTTGTCTGTTTTCTTTGTTGCTGGAATAACTATAAATAAATTAATCAAACATCAAAAAATAAATACTGAATTATAAACAAGTTTTAATGAATTATATTTATTATTTACTTTCCTCAACTTCATTTTCTATACTTTCTAATTTTAGAATATCTTTTTAAAACATTATATATATACTTATATATGTAATATTTTATATATTTTATATGAAAGAGAGCAAATATGTAAAGATAAGAGTGATATACACTGAGATAAAACANGTTTTATATTTTACTGATATTTCAGAATACAGTGGTACCTTGGTATATGTCTGCTTCAGAATACGTCCAATTTGGAATACATCCTGTTTGGACGAAACAAATTTTGCTTGGTATACAACTTTTGTTCAGTATACCACTTAATTCAATTATAAGCACCATCTATGAACAAGTAGCACTATCAGTGTACTAGGCCAGACTAGATGTTCGTGGTGCCACAGTTTATAACTTTGTTAAATTTCTTCTGATTTTAATTTGTAAGTAAAATTTTACTATTTTTATTAATCATGAATTGCAAAAAGGCAAATGAAAAGCAACAGAAAACTAAAAAAATGACTATAATCACAATGGAACTGAAAAAAGAGATCATTGAGAAATATGAAGGTGGCATGTGTGTTCGAGATTTAACTGTTGCATACCGTATTCCGAGAACGACGATATCAACAATCGTGAAAAATAAAGACATTATTAAATCTGCTAAAGTTGTGAAAGGGGTTAAATCAATTTCTAAACAGAGATCGAAGACATTAGATCATGTGAGAAATTGCTTTTGCTTTGGATAACTGAAAAACAGTGTGCTGGCAACAGCATATCAGAAGCAATTATTTGCGAGAAAGCTAAAAAGATACATGTTGATCTCATGAAAAATCAAGCAGGAACTAGCCAGGAAAGCGAGGTGTTTAAAGCTAGCCATTTTTTTTACACGAGAATGGATTAATCAGTTCTTATGGGAAAAGTTGGTTCGGTATACGTCCAAACATCAGGAATGGATTAAGGTCGTGTACCGAGGTTCCACTGTATTTGTACTTAAGTCTATTTAAATTTTATCTTCTGCCTAATAATGATAAATTTATTTAAAGTGCTTCCTTTTTGCTCTTATTTTAATTTTATTCATTAAAGCAGCACCAAAAGATAGTTGTCTCCTGCTTTATCTATCAAAAATATGTAAAACTAGTTGTACCCAGCAAAATATTTCCTGTAAAAATTCTTTTAAGTTACAAATAAATAAGAAAAATAAAATAGCAAATACATTAATAAATTTTATGTAAATAAATTTAAGATTATAAAATTTCTCAATATACAACATTATTACTTTAAAAAATAGGAAATAGATTTCATCTTAACGTATTTTTATATACAGTACACCCCTATAACATAATTCCGTGTTATATGAATTCCATGTTGTACGAGTCACTTAGATTTTACAAATACATGCCAGGCTGTGAATGGCTCACATATTTATAAAATCTAAGTGACTCGTACAACGTGGAATTCATATAACACGGAATTATCTACAGTGTTATAGGGGGGTCTACTGTATAGATAGATTTGATTCTGTCTATGGTTAATTTTAACAAAGCCTAATATTAACAAACATATCCAAAATGTGTTCTCTTTGTTACTCTGAGGAGGTTCAAATAACCATGTAAATACTTTTACAGTTAATTTACGTGTAGAAGTGAATATCTAAGAAAATAACATTTCATCAAACATAGTTTTTCATTTCTTTTCCACCTACTCATAAGTATTCTTCACTTAGGTGCCACTTTATTTGAAAGGTATTATGCCAGTCCTGACCAAAATTTAATTTACAATAGTCTTTCCATTAATAACATAATTAAAGCATAATTGTGAATCAATAAAAATTAAAAAATAACAAAAATCAACAAAAGAATATCAACTCAAAAAGTTATTTTCAGAATCATTTTTGTACTAGATTTTGTATGAGTTTGATAGCTGGAATAGCAAGAAGAGACAACACTATGCTAAAAATGAAATTGCAGTTCATCTACAGTACATCATTAAGCTTCAAAATGATGTATAGAAGTAAATATAGTTCATGTGCAAGTACCTTAATGAAATGGGAATAGATTTCACCTTAGTGTATTTGGTATATACAGATAGTCTGCAAATAGAGGAATATTTTAATTGTTTAAAATTAATTCAAACATGAGGCATATACTGTAACTTATGAATATATTTAGCAAAATAATAATCACTTTTATATAAAATACATATGTATAATAATAAATATGTACTGTTTTCAATTAAATAATACACCCATACCTCGCTATACGGCCGCTCTTTATACGGCATTTCGCTATAACGGCCCTCTTCAATTAAGGCACGTTTTCGATTTACGGCCTAAAATGTTTCGCTATAACGGCAAAAAAAAACTTTTTTTCAATGTTGATATATCTACATGTTGCTAATCTTGCACAAGCGCAATCTCGATGCACACTCTTTTCTATTTCCTCTTGTTTACGAGCGTTATTCAGTGCGTGCTCATAAAGCGGCTGGTTTAGACTTGTCTGTGAGTGTTTTATGTACATATTTATTACTGATTGTTANTGTGAGTGTCCTTCATGCCCACGATCATCTTTTCAATATGTGGCATCACACTGTCCAATATTGGCTTAGGGGTTCCTGGAGTGTACATTGGGCCATTCGCTAAGGCGTCAATAAGATAATCAGGTGGAGATATGTTATCCCAACATACTAATGGGATTATAGGTGCTACCTTCCCGAGCGGTCTCTGCTTTTTTAAAATCCAATTCATTTTCTTCTTGTATTTTACGGCCAGGCTCCTTTCTAAAATTTCTTGATATATAACGGCCCTTTTGTTTGCTTCCTGTAATGCTGATACATTTTGCCCGAATAGAATATTTTCCTCCTTAATTAGTTTATCGAGCTTGGAATACACGCACCTTCTTGTTGTTCTAATTGCTTTCCTTAAACAGAGATGTCTTAATTTCGGTAACAGGGATTCACATCCTTTTGGGAGATATATGCGGTATATGGACATTGGGAAGACCCTTTTTCTCTGACATTCTAATAAGAAATCCAATTTTGCTCTAGCCCTAGTTAGGGTTAGCACCAGTCTTTTGTATGCGTTAGCCGGCATAGCTTTGTAAATTAAAAATCTTCTAATCCGAATACCGGTATTCTTATAAAAATCGTACTTACTCAACCTTTATTGTCCGGTACTTGTAAATTATTTGTAAAACAAACGTTTTCGGCCTCAGTCGAGGTCTGCTTCAGGTTAAATTATTGGATTTCATTCTTCGAATGCACGTTTAGTTTTAAATATAATCTAATTTCTTGTGCGTGTTACGTACAATAAAGGTTGAGTAAGTACGATTTTTATAAGAATACCGGTATTCGGATTAGAAGATTTTTAAATACAAAAGATAATCTGGAAATATGTCACAAGAAAGAATCTAATTTTTTAAAATTAAAATTGTAAATAAATTTTCATCATATTATTGAAACTGACATATGAAAATATTATTTTAAAATTATGTAAATATTAAATAACCAAATTAATCAAAGAAGAAACCAAACTTATATAATTAGAAATATATTTAGAAAGTAAACTTTACAAATTGGATTAGCATATTACAATTCAAGTCAAATAATCTTAATTTTAAAAAATATATATATAATAAACTAAGATTAAAACTTTGTGTATAAAATAACAAACTGAAACAGAGTTCAATAAACAGGTAAAATCTGGAAATTTCTGTTTTGGGAAAATATTCACTTATCAACAAACAACTCTACTAAACCTGATACCTATCACAGGGTAAGTGGAAGTTGTGAGTTCGAGTCCCACTCTGGGCCAATTATTTTCTTCCAGTAATCTTAATTATTTAATTAAAAATTATAATTATTAAATTTATTAAGAGATGGCCCCTAATGCCTCAGTGAGAATCTGAATATTGAATTGGTATTTTTATCAGATTTTAAATCAATATAATATTTCGATATTAAATTCAAAACTTTTATTTTATAAAAAAGTCAAGGAGAACAAGGAACAAACATTTCCTTTTTGACTGTTAGTTCCTGAGAGAGATCGTTATCTCTCCTATGACTAAATATCTGACTAAATAAGACTCATCTTGACATCCCATCAGATGGTCAAATTACTTAATTCTCATTGGAAGAGAATATTTTTATAAAAGAAGTTTAGGTGCCAAACTATACGTGTATTTTATAGTAATTGATATATATATTAATTTTGTGTCTGATCACCTATGATTCCCATCTCTCAAAGATATATATATATAACTGAGGCATTATACTAATATTTATTGTAAACTCTCAATATATAGTAATAGTGTGAGATCCGAAAGGCCCCTGGGTCTAAATAGTGAATTTATTAATATTTGTTAAAAATATTGTCATCAAATATTACTTTAGTTTTGTGAGAAAAATACTGTTTTGGACGTGGAAAAAAACCAGATAACAGATGCTACTTCCTTTCACAGAAGAGAACATCCTCTGACTTTCCCTTATCGGGTTAAAAATCTCACTCAGATGGGAAATGGTTACCCCTCATTCATTCCCCTTTCGTCCGTTCTCACGAAAGAGTTACTGGCCGATGATTGGTCGAAATTCAGGAGATATAAGGGAAATTAGTCCGAATTCGAGGAGTTCAACGGGGAGTGCTTCGACAGATCCTAAGCGTCAAACTCCACACAGTTTCCTCCTGATGACCAACGCCCTTAAACGAGTCCCATAGACTAAGTCCCGAGTCTGAACTTAGTAAAGATACTTTTATATTTGTGCACGTATTGATCTCCCGTACGAAGAAGTAAATGAACTCTATCTACAAGGTGTCCCTTACAGACAGAGAAGAAGACGAACGTCAACTGAATCAGGTTGTATGTTTTATAACGATTTTTGTGAGCTCTCTCTCTCGATCGCGCATCAGTATAGAATAAGTCTTAGACTATATCTCGTGTGGCTTAATTGTCTTATTGATATCCCTCGCTTGTTGAAATTTGTATTCGTTTTGTTTTGAATTATTAAATTTACTCTTGTTAAATTTACTTAAATGTCTCTTAAATTGATTCTGAATCAGATCTCATACGCGTGTTTGTCCGCGCAATGAGAAAATTGACAAACTGGTGTCGGGAACCTGACGAACATCGGAACTTCGCAGTTCTGATCAACTAGCGATTATCGCCCTCCTATAAAACTTTTAAGATCGGATCTCTCGATCCGAAACTCGGAGAACTATTCTCGCGGAATAGTGCCGATTAAGTGTTACACGAGTACTATCTACTCCGTAACCCCGGCTACTCTCACAATAGCATTATATTTAGATAAGTTAATGCCCTCTAGGTTACTTTGTATATATCCATTTGTATTTTAAATTTTATTTGGTTTATTAAATATACTTTTATTTGTTAAAATGGAAGTCAATTTTATTATTTTAAAGAACAGACTCCTATTGACTTACTCACAACCTCCCCACTCAATAATTAGCCCTCCTATAGCCATCCAATAACACTGTGAGCAGGTTTCACCAACCTGCAGTTGATAATTGTTCGATAAATCAACCATATTGAACTTGATTTCTCACACCTCCCTCTAGTGTCAAACCATTTGGTAATTGATTAATATTACAACCGTTATTAGCTCAATAACATAATCCTTCTTTAATTACCTTATAATTTAATATATACATCAAATTTTAACTATTAATAAAATAATATTTACCTGCTACTGGTGCTTCACTTTTTTCTTCACCTGCTTCATTACTTATTACTAGTGTATATTTTCCTGCATCATCCGGGGTAACTTTATCAAACGTTAGTGTAACAGTGCCGTCAGGGCTTTCTGATAATTTAATATGATCAGAGGGCAAAATAGGCTTTCCATTTTTCAACCTAAAATATATAGTTTTGAATATGCAATACTAAAATAACCTTTAAAATAAAATTTAATGTGCTTATTCATAGTCATATTAACAGTTAAAAAATTTTTTAACAACCAATTTTTTTTAGTTTATTTGTAACAATATTTTGCTACTTTGATAACAGAAATAAAGGTAAACAAACTTGGAATATTTTAATACTTTGTGATTCTTTTTAAAATTTGTTATGAAAGATTAAATTATTCCATTTGCTTGATTTATATCTTTTTGTAAAATTTATATGCAATAAAAGTAATGAAAGCTGAAAAAAAATATTTGCTTATTAAAATAATATATTAGATTTTGTATTTTAAGTAATTTTCTCAAAATTTAATGCAATTAATGTAATATGTCAAGTAATTCGAAATGTTCAATTTTATAAATATTCATCATAAAAAATTCATAAAATCAAAATACAGTGAAAACTGCTTAGGCGACCACCTGCATTCGACAGGCACCTTTCAAAATGGGCAAAAATTTCCCCCACGGAATAGTTTATTCATAGAGTCTTCGTATAAGTTACCTGTATGAAACGACCNCGAGGAGTTCAACGGGGAGTGCTTCGACAGATCCTAAGCGTCAAACTCCACACAGTTTCCTCCTGATGACCAACGCCCTTAAACGAGTCCCATAGACTAAGTCCCGAGTCTGAACTTAGTAAAGATACTTTTATATTTGTGCACGTATTGATCTCCCGTACGAAGAAGTAAATGAACTCTATCTACAAGGTGTCCCTTACAGACAGAGAAGAAGACGAACGTCAACTGAATCAGGTTGTATGTTTTATAACGATTTTTGTGAGCTCTCTCTCTCGATCGCGCATCAGTATAGAATAAGTCTTAGACTATATCTCGTGTGGCTTAATTGTCTTATTGATATCCCTCGCTTGTTGAAATTTGTATTCGTTTTGTTTTGAATTATTAAATTTACTCTTGTTAAATTTACTTAAATGTCTCTTAAATTGATTCTGAATCAGATCTCATACGCGTGTTTGTCCGCGCAATGAGAAAATTGACAAACTGGTGTCGGGAACCTGACGAACATCGGAACTTCGCAGTTCTGATCAACTAGCGATTATCGCCCTCCTATAAAACTTTTAAGATCGGATCTCTCGATCCGAAACTCGGAGAACTATTCTCGCGGAATAGTGCCGATTAAGTGTTACACGAGTACTATCTACTCCGTAACCCCGGCTACTCTCACAATAGCATTATATTTAGATAAGTTAATGCCCTCTAGGTTACTTTGTATATATCCATTTGTATTTTAAATTTTATTTGGTTTATTAAATATACTTTTATTTGTTAAAATGGAAGTCAATTTTATTATTTTAAAGAACAGACTCCTATTGACTTACTCACAACCTCCCCACTCAATAATTAGCCCTCCTATAGCCATCCAATAACACTGTGAGCAGGTTTCACCAACCTGCAGTTGATAATTGTTCGATAAATCAACCATATTGAACTTGATTTCTCACACCTCCCTCTAGTGTCAAACCATTTGGTAATTGATTAATATTACAACCGTTATTAGCTCAATAACATAATCCTTCTTTAATTACCTTATAATTTAATATATACATCAAATTTTAACTATTAATAAAATAATATTTACCTGCTACTGGTGCTTCACTTTTTTCTTCACCTGCTTCATTACTTATTACTAGTGTATATTTTCCTGCATCATCCGGGGTAACTTTATCAAACGTTAGTGTAACAGTGCCGTCAGGGCTTTCTGATAATTTAATATGATCAGAGGGCAAAATAGGCTTTCCATTTTTCAACCTAAAATATATAGTTTTGAATATGCAATACTAAAATAACCTTTAAAATAAAATTTAATGTGCTTATTCATAGTCATATTAACAGTTAAAAAATTTTTTAACAACCAATTTTTTTTAGTTTATTTGTAACAATATTTTGCTACTTTGATAACAGAAATAAAGGTAAACAAACTTGGAATATTTTAATACTTTGTGATTCTTTTTAAAATTTGTTATGAAAGATTAAATTATTCCATTTGCTTGATTTATATCTTTTTGTAAAATTTATATGCAATAAAAGTAATGAAAGCTGAAAAAAAATATTTGCTTATTAAAATAATATATTAGATTTTGTATTTTAAGTAATTTTCTCAAAATTTAATGCAATTAATGTAATATGTCAAGTAATTCGAAATGTTCAATTTTATAAATATTCATCATAAAAAATTCATAAAATCAAAATACAGTGAAAACTGCTTAGGCGACCACCTGCATTCGACAGGCACCTTTCAAAATGGGCAAAAATTTCCCCCACGGAATAGTTTATTCATAGAGTCTTCGTATAAGTTACCTGTATGAAACGACCACCTGTGTAACGCAACCGTGGACATTGATTTTTGGTCCGAAACAACATACAACACCTGTAATAAGTGACCACTTTCGCGAATATATCTGGTCTAAACTATTGTTTGAACCCATCTCAACAACGTTTCCCCCCTCCTAATATAATAAATTAGTCTAAACTCTCGTTCGAACCCATCCCGGGCACTTCTCCCACCGTTGAAATTAGGTACAGGTGTTAATAAATTAGTCAAGCAACAAAGGAAATTCATTTCAGTTTGTTGGAAAATATCTGAAAAACGAAAGAAATGCAAAGTGCTGTCGTTAGAAGATCATGTTAAAATTATCAGAGAAAGTGAAAATGGTTTATCGCAACGGCAATTAGTGGCGAAGTTTAACTGGGAAAACAAAATTTATTTTACTGTACACCTACAGTATTTTCCTTGGAGGTATAAAATATTGTAGACAATACAATTAATCGGTTGATCTCATCGTTTAATAATAATAATAATAAATAAATAAAATAAATTTTATTATTATTATTATTATTATTATATTTTTTTGAAGCTTATATACAGTACATGTGCAATAAATAGTTTCTGTATCAATCTACATTATTTCCACAATATTTAAAAAAAAATAATATCCAAGTAATTTTTGCATGCAAAGTATTCAAAAAACAATAAACGCATTAATGCAAAAATCAGTTTTACAGGCAACCTTCCTTTTTCGATTCTGCAATCACAATCGCGGAATGTAATGAAATTGTATAATGATAAAAATAATAAAATCGTTTTATTATTAATTACAACCAAGTCAAATTAATTAAGTCGGAAAAAAGAAAGTGTGCATTATAATCGAGGAAATGCGACTATAGTATTAACCTTTAAAATATTGGTATTAAATCTGTCTTATAAAATCACGACGACTCCTGTAAATCGAGTTACAGTATCCGATAAGAATAAAATACAATACCAATATAGCCCTACCAATACAGGTGGTCCTGTAATAACGTATTTCCGTACGTATTTTGCATACTTTTTAGCCATTTCTACTAAGCAAAACTGGAGATGAGCAAAAATAAGCAAATATTTTCAATGATAGGGCTATATTGGTATTGTATTTTATTCTTATCGAATACTGTAACTCGATTTACAGGAGTCGTCGTGATTTTATAAGACAGATTTAACACCAATATTTTAAAGGTTAATACTATAGTCGCATTTCCTCGATTATAATGCAAACTTTCTTTTTTCCGATTTAATTAATATGACCACCTGTCTAAAAGACCACTTTTTGAAGCAACTGTCGGTGGTCACCATAGACAGATTTTACTGTATATCATATTAATGATTTCCTTAACAATATATCTAGATCAGTATTTCTCAACGGAGGCGATATCACTCCCATGTGGGTGTTTTTCCATGTTGAGAAGGCGATTAGTAACAATTTATATTTTGAGGGACAAAAACGATTTTCTGGGTGATATAGTAAAACATTATATTAAGAATAATTAGATATTTTATTCATTATATCGTACAATAATTAAACAAATAACATTATACTAGTCACTAGTCTATTCAATTCAGTACGAATTTGGCGTTAGCCTTGGCCCTTGGTATTGGAATTTTGAAGTGAAAAAGATGATACTACGTAACAGTTTTGTTGAAGGGGGTGATGATTCGTTAGAGGTTGAGAAACACTGATCTAGATCTTTCTAAAATTTAACAAATCAACTACAAATTATTATTCTTATTTTAATATTTTTTCAATTAATCAGTATATTTTCAGCACATGCAATTAATAAATTAAAATAAATTTCTTACTGTAATGGCCAAATTAAAGATTATGATTTTAAAAATACTTTTCTAATCAAGTAAATTTTAAATATGAAAATTAGTACCTTTTATTTATAAAATCATAAAATTTAATTTTGTTATGTTATTTACTAAAAATTGAAAATAGATAACATTATATAACAAAATTCATATTTTTATTTACTTATACATTTCTCAAAACAATATATTGTATTAGATTGTAATGTACAAATTCTTAGTTTTATATTGCCCATACTGCCCTGTTCATCATTTTATTTTTTTATTTAGTAGTCTAATATTTGTATATGTATATACTAGAAGTAAACATATTAAAAAATATGTAAGTAATAGTGTTGCAACGAATAGTATATTCGGCCAGGTGCGTGGCTGAATAGCCGAATATTCGGCTGAACTATTCGGCTTGATTAATGCACGTACAAAAATTGGTGCGCAAACCGCATTATGGCAAGGACCCTGCTCTCTATTGGCCCACTGTCACTACGCTTCGCCAATCGCGTTAATTCTTGACAGTTCAGACAAGAGCATCACGGCAGTATGTGATAAGTGATGATATGATATGTGGATAACAATGAAATGACCTACACATGTAAATAACGGAAGAAGAACAGAGAAGGACCGCAAAGTGAAAATGTGAAAATAAATATGAAATTGAGTTGATAAAAATCGAACAAGTCGATTATGTTATCAACTCAATAAGCTGCCTCGAACAAGTCGAGGAAGCTTATTGGCACAAAATTCGCGGCCGTTAATGCCAAACAATTGTTGTCATAGACTTCGGAAAGCTAAATGCTTGTAATGAAAGTCACTTAGCGTGCACAGGCAAAAGCCTGGGGTCGTTCGGGCTACCAAGCCGTTTCGAATCTGTGAAATCATAACTGTGACTTATACTGACGCCCTATTTGTCTCTTTTCTCTGTTATCACCAGGCTATGAGTCACTTAATTGTAAAATTGGAAATCTACGACGGAAAAGTGACGAATCGAAAGTATCGTGAGGGCGTATTATGATGTATGCATAGGCATACGTGGACTAGAGCAATAGAGGAAAGAGAAAGGGAAGAGCAAAGACGAGCACTTAAAAAGAAGGATAGGCAGGGTCAGACCCTCAGATATGCGACAATTCTCAAACAAATTGGTGGGTACATGTGCTGATCTTTGTAATTATAAATTGTGAATACAAGTGACTAATATTATGTTCTTTTTTATTTTGTGCATGTTATCAGTTATAAATAAATATAAACAAAGAACACTAACCCGATAACATTAAATCTAAATACCAAAATGATTAATTTACTGTTTTTGTTATTTCTTACTCCTGTTTTCAGGTATTCAGTATTCAGCTGAATAGTGATTAAATATTCGGTATTCGGCCGAATAGGCCGAATACCAAATAGTAGCCGAATATTCGTTACATCACTAGTAAGTAACATTTCATTAAAAAACTTTAATCCCAAAAAAAGTGTAAAATTTTAAGATTAAAAAAAATATATAAACGAATGTAAACATTATTTATATACCATTTAATTTTTGGCATGGGCTCTCCAGTGACTTTGGCAATCAATTGTCCAGATTCTCCTTCATAAAATTGAGCAGGCTTTAAATAACTACTAAATTCAGGTACTTTTCCTTTAATAGTTGGTGCTTTTACAGATGGTTCAGGTTCTTTAGGAGCTTCAACTTCTGCTACTTTAGGTGTTTCAGGTACCTTAGCAGATTCAACTTCTGTGGCTTTAGAAGGCTCTGGTACTTTTTCAGGTTCAGATTGTTTAGGTTCAACAGCCTCAGCAGGTTTTTTTTCTTTTGGTGGTGAAACAGCTGAAAAAAATTCATTTGCATTATTAAAATTATACAAGAGACTGTTTATAATCTAAAAATATATTCAGTAAGTGTCAGAACATCAATGAAATAAAAAAGAGCTAAAGATCTTCTAATAGCTTAATAAACAAATTTAAAATTACAAATAAACACAAAATTTAAAAATTAATTTTTAATAAACCATATTAAAAATATGATTCCTTAAAGGCATTTTTTGAGCATAAAAGCAGCAAGTTAAAAAGTCCAAAATTATTTATATTTCATCTATACTCTATCATCAGCTACATTGAAGCCTAAATCACATATCTCCAAAAGAATGTTGATATGTTAGAAAATTAAACATCTTAAATGAATGTTGAAGATTAATTCACCTAGAAATTTAATGAAACTTATCATAAATATTTTTAGTTACCTTAATTTAACAGTGTTTTACGGATTGATTAAGCTTAATTCAATTCTTTGTTTAAAATAAGCTGTTCCTCTAAATGTTCATTTAAGATGTTTAAGCTTCTATATCCTTTGAAAACATTCACTTTAACTTTTGAGTCTTTAGAGGTATACAACTGGACTTCAATTTATCTGACAATTGAGCCAAGATGTACCAAAAATACTAAGTCAAATAATTTTGGACTTCTTTTTGTAATTTTTTTCTTCAATTCTAGTGTTTAGTACAACTTAATTAATTTTCAATTGCTGATTTAAACTGAAAACTAATTAAGAAAATTCTAAAATCAATTTAAAAATAAAATTTTCTTTGTATGCAAGTTATCAATAAATTAAACAGGGTTCAGCATCTGCTTTCATTCATTTTAAATCAGTTGTCATGAAAACATTAATCACGTGACATTTGTCAGTTTGTCATTAAACTTGGATATTTTGTTATAATGGACAAATTTCCAATTCATTGATGTGTTTATATGGTAAAATAATTCATTAGAAATGGAAAGGGATTGATTACAATAACTGAAGAAATACCAAAAAAAAAAAAAAATTTAATTGTCAATATAGAAAATGTCATAAAAAATTGCACCAATTGGATATAATGGAAAAACTACAAGATATAATAATAGGATATAATGTACCAAATAAGCAAAGAGATCTGAAGATTTAAAAATGACATTAAAAAAAGTAAGTAGTTTTTTTGAGATCACATAATCTAATAATGGTAAAGTGAACAAATCAAAACAATTAGTCATAATGACTATAGATCAACATAATACAATTATTAAAAATATTGTATGTGAGAATATCTACAGAGAACTGGAAGAGCACCAAAGGAAAGGGATACAACAAAAATTAAAGAAATACACAGCTAAATTGATAAGAGAACATTTAATAACAAAAGAGGAAGGAAAATATATGTGTACTTTAGGTTGTAGAGCACCAACTATAAAAATTAGAATGAAAAACACATAAAGACCCTATCAGCTACAGACCATTAGTGAATATACATGAATATATGTTATATAATCTGAAATCTTTTGCAAAAACTAAGCTAAATGAATTAACTATATTGAATGTTAGCATAAAAAATACAGATATGTTACTAAATAAATTAAAACGAATAGATATTAAGCCTCAATACAAGATAGCATAACTAGATATTAACACGTATCCCTCAATATCTTTGAATAGAATTATAAATATGTTAGAGAATATAAATTGCCTTAAGTGGTTAATTACATTTATGGTTTTTGCTATATAAAATAACCACTTTATAAATGATGGAAAATGGTACACTCAAATATGAGGCCTCCCTATGGGATCCAGGATAGCTCCAATATTGGCAGAACTATGCATGTTAGAATATGACAAAAACATTAGTCAAATACCAGGAATTGTTCTATATAACAGATATGTAGACAATAGTATCATTAAATATGAAAATAATATGGTTAATATAAATAATCTTGTGGATAGTATTAATAAGATAGGACCTAAATATATAGTTTGAGATACAAAAAGAAAATAATATGATACCATTTTTAGATATAACAATAAAGAGAAAAAATGATAAATTAATTTTACAAAAATATGAAAATGAATGCAATGTTCATGAAATAATCAATTATTATTCTGAAATATCAGAATTAGGGCATTCGATCCCGGTCCTTATTTCTAATCCCGGGATTTCGGGATTATACTTATTCAATTCCGGGATTCCGGGATTATTTCGGTATTGAGGGTTAATAAAAAATAAGAAAATCTTACAGAAATTAAAAATCAAAATTTAGACAAAAGGCAACATATTTTACGGTATACACCTGGTTAATTTAATCACTCTAACTAATCAGACTTAGAGTCAGACTAACCAGACTTAAAATCACTGTTTCATGTTAAATTTATTCTTTTTTAAGCATCACTGAGATCTCTTTAAGCTCACATAAATTGAAAAAACCTTTATGTAACAAACTATGCAAATAAACGTTGAAAATTAACAAAAATCTCTCTTAACATCGACTAAATAGACTACTTTCATATAACAACCTAGTAAGTAGGTAGTAAAGTAAGTTTCTTAGCAAAAAGTATTTAAAAATAATATTAATCAGTCACATTTTTCTTAAATATAAAGAAAACTAATCTAATAGGAACATTCTAATTTGAATTGCGAAAATATGATCTGAGAAATAACAACGCATCCAGTGTCTCATCACCAAGTCTGCTTCTCAATTTGTTGCACATATATGCAGCTGCTGAGAAAACGCGTTTAGGTTTGATGGAAGTTGGAGGAATCGTTAGTAAATACTTATAAGCTTCGAGGACACGGGGAGGATGGAAGAAAACAGTCCGGTCGACACGGATCGGGATTGTAGGAGTAAAGGCTACAATCCCGATTGTTTCGATCATTGTAAGCATGTCTTTCTAAAAATAAACGCGTTAATTTTGTAAATTCGGTCTCTGTGTGAGTCTCTCAGCGTCCAGCAAACCACTACCCCGAAACGTAAAAAGACTTTCTCGCATCATCCTGACAGATCGCGGGCAAGGCGAGGGTCGTAACCTTTTCACCTAAGGTCGACCCCCCTAAGCGAGAGGCGTCGGGTCTATATTAACTACACTGGCAAAACAAGATGGCTGACACATTGACAGGTAAAACGCACTGAGTAGTGCTCTCGACTGCGCCAGAAAATCGATTGGCGCCCGCGAAAATTCAAAAATACAAAAATGAAGTATATTACCAAGTAACCCAGTGAGAACTGCTTGCCTATCATTTTAGTTGAAAATACAAGAAGTTTTATTCCAAGCAAGCATCGCAAGCCCGCTAGGTTAATTTCTGCTGCTTGCTTGGAATAAAATTTCTTGTATTTTATATTAAAATGATAGGCAAGCAATTCTGTTAAAAGCACTGGCACTGAACGTTTCGCTTCATGCAGTCTATTTTGCAACTTTTTTAAAAATGATGTCAATCCCGAAAATCTCGGGATTAGAAAACCTTAATCCCGAAAATTTTGGGACTGAAAAGTTATCGGGATCCCGGGATTCCGATTTTCGAGATCCCGGGATCAAATCCTCTAATCAGAATATATAAAGAAAAATACTTTTAATATGTATATAGACAAAATTGAATGCAGGACCACTAATGAAAAAATAAGACAGAAAGAAATATCTAAAATTATAAACATTTACATAATGAATGAATATCTAAAAAAGATTATTAAACATTAGTTAAAGTCCTAAACAATCAGAGAAAAAAAATGAGAGAAAGTCAAACAACTTAAAGTTCCATATATAAAAGGCATTTCTGAAAGAATGAAGATATTGATAGATTATAATATCCAATTAATTCCAGAATGCACTAATACTATAATGTCTTGAATTAATAATAAAAAAGATAAGAAAATAAAAACAATTAATAGTATATTTGAACATAGTGATGTGGTGTATAAATTCAGTTGTAATAGTAAAAATATGAATATTTACATTCTTCTTCTTCACGTGCCATGCCCGGTCCCCCGGACGTCGGCTATCACCAAGGAGAGGGAGTTCCTATCTTCGGCCATTCTCATTACCTCTCCAATGTTTTGTATGCCTGTCCATTTTTTAATATTGTCCATCCATGATAAATGTCTTTGGCCTCGTTTATGCTTTCTCTCAATCTTTCCATTGAGGATTACTTGTGGGATTTTATATTTTTCTCCTCTAGTGATATGTCCCAAGTATGCAATCTTTCTGCATTTGATTGTTGACAGCAACTTTCTGTTTGTTCTTGCTCTGCTTAGAATTTCATTGTTGGTCACTCGATCTGTCCATGGGACTCTCAGCATCCTTCTATGAATCCACATCTCAAATGCCTCCAGTCTTCTTTCTGTATTCCTTTTTAATGTCCAGCTTTCCACACCATAGAAGAGAACTGACCAAATATAACATTCGGCCATTCGTTGCCACAATTTCAAATTTAAATTGTCGTTGAGAGCAGGGTTTTCATTTTTTGGAAGGATGTTCTAGCAGCTGCTATCCTGCATTTAATTTCTTTCCCTGAATCTATTTTCTGAGATCTATTTTCCCTGAGATTTTCTGTAATTATGCTTCCCAAGTATTTAAACTGTTTGACCCGTTTAATTTTTTTTTGGTCAAGAACAAGTTGTGCCTCTCTGTGTGGGGTCTGACTAAAAATCATAAATTTAGTTTTGTTTGCATTTATTTTGAGACCGGCATCAATTCCTGCTGAGTTAATTTTGTTTAGTAGTACCTGTAAGCCTTCTAGGCTGTCACATATGATTAGTGTATCATCAGCATATCTAATGACGTTAAGAATCACACTGTTGATTTTAATCCCATAATTTGAGTTTTCTAAGGCATTTTTGAAGATTTTGTCTGAGTACAGATTAAACAATAGGGGCAAAAGAATGCAGCCCTGCCGGACTCCTCTCTGTATTTCAATTTCTGCTGTTTTCACTGTTCCTAACTTGACTTCTGCTGTTTGACCCCAGTATAAATTTTAAATTATTCTGATGTCCTTGCCATCTAATTGAAATTGGTGCAGGATCTCTATTAATTTGGAGTGTTTCACACTATCGAAAGCCTTTTCATAGTCTATGAAACAAGCAAATATGTCTTTTTGTTGTTCATGACATCTCTGGAGAAGGACGTTGATACTAAACAACACTTCTCTTGTTCCAAAAGCATTTCTGAATCCAAATTGAGTTTCCTTGAGATCAATTTCACATTTTTTATATATCCTGGTGTACATGTTTTATATATCCTGGTTATATATTTCTACATATTTCTATAATATGTAGAAATATCTTCAGAACATGGCACATAAGACTAATGAGTCTGTAGTCGCTACAACTTTTAGGATGACTTGTTTTAGGGATTGTTACAAAAGTTGATTTTAACCAGTCTTTTGGTATCGTGCCAGTATTGTAGATCCGATTGAATAATCTAGTAATTAGTTTAATATTTACATAGGGGAAACCAAATGTCAATTAAAAACGCAGATTCAAGAACATTAAAGCTATAAAGTATAATAGTGATTTTTCGACTGTCAATCAACATTGCAGTAAATAAGGATACAAAAATTAATAAAAATACTATAAAAATAATCAAAAAAAGAAAAGAATACATTGAAAAGAAAATAATTTGAGCATACATGCCTTATATTGCTATAATAAAAGAAAAAAGCAGAAATAATAATTTGATAAATCATAATGATGGTTTTAAAATAGACAATAGATGATGCAACTATCTTGGTGTTAATAAATATCGTAAATAGTTCAAATGTCCAACCAGTACGCTGAGGTTGGACATTTGAACTATTGAACTAGCTTAATCCCTACCAGCTCATAACAACTAACCAACCATAAGTGGTCAGTGGGGTTACAATATGATAATAATCAATAAGAATACAATAACTGAAAGACAGATTATAACTAACTTCTTATATAAGATAAGCCTTAAATTTTTTAATCGATGTAGTATGAAAGGTAATAAAGCCATAAAGCTCTTTGACAGCAACATTTGTGAAACAACACCTATTTCAGACAACCTACTGTGTTGCATAATATATTGTCAAGATGTTCAAAGCACAATTGTAAAACCGTTGACAGCAAAGTGTATGGTTTTTTAAATCATTTTGTTAGCTAATAGTTTTAAAATTTTATCGCTTTGTATATTTTTGTTTATGTGTGAGTCTTGTAATAAATTCTTCAGGATAATTTTTTGCCATATACAGTGGTACCTCAGGATATGAAATTAATCCATTCCGAAACTGAGATCATATCATGAAAATGTCGTAAGGTGAATCATTTTTCCCCATACGATTACACATAAAACCAAATAATTCGTTGCAACACAAAAAACACACTCAAATTAAAGCTAAGTTGTACATTAAAAAAAATTAACTATAGTAAGGAAAACACTGAAAAATGCGTTTTGTAGTTTTAAATGTATAAATAACCATAATAGAATAATAATTGATTTAAAAATTGTAGTTTTATTTGCACTTTATCTTTGAGGATAGACAGCAGTGGAGGTGTAAACTGGTGGCGGGAGAAGGGAAATGATGATAAACTTAACTTACATAACTTAATTAACAATAACTTAAAAATAACTTAGAAAAGATAAAAAAATTAGTGTTGTTTTATATATATATATGTTTATTTATTTAAATGTTTATTCACTGCTTTTTGCTTTCCTTCACTTCTACCAGCATTTTCACTGGATAGAGGTCGCTTGGTAAAATATCTATCCAAAGAGGTTTGGCTTTGCCTATTTTTAAAATGTTTCTAAAATGACTTAGGCAAATGTCATTACTCTGAGCAGCAATACGGCCAGTGTGAACATTTTTGGGATGTTTCTTTTCAATAAAATCAGTCACTTTCTGATAATACAAGATTTCCTTTANCTTTCCTTCACTTCCACCAGCACTTTCACTGGATAGAGGTCGCTTGGTAAAATATCTATCCAAAGAGGTTTGGCTTTGCCTACTTTTTAAAATGTTTCTAAAAATGACTTAGGCAAATGTCATTAAACTGAGCAGCAATACGACCAGTGTGAACCTTTTCAGGATGTTTCTTTTCAATAAAATCAGTCACTTTCTGATAATACCTCAAGATTTCCTTTATCAAGAGATCCTTCCATGACGAAGCAAACGCGTGAACTGAAACCGACAAACAGAAGTGATAAAAAAAATGGCACTGCAAACTAATGTAACGTCGTATGGTGAGTTTTTGTTCGTATCATGGAGCAAAAATATGTTCGAATTTTGTGTCGTATCCTGAAAATTTCGTATGCTAAGACATTCGTATCCTGAGGTACCACTGTATTTAAAAGATGTTCACCTAACTAATTAACACAAGAGGCCAAAATTTTTAGGAAATATACAAGACATTAATAGTTTCATGTTTGTGATAACCCTTTCATTGTAATAATATTCTACAAATGTGTAATAAAGTATATTTCTATTAAATATTTTTAAAAAGGGATTAAAGACTTATTATTAAAAGAAATGAAACAATTGTCCAAACAAATAAAATTTTCAAAAAGAATTCAATGTTGAAAGACATGATGATTTACTGTCAAGGAAAACAATTTTAAGATAAGTGAATGATTTTAATCAAATAGACAATATTCAATCAAAGTTTAAAGGTGGTATTGAAACCATTCAGACCCCAGAGAATATTGAAAGAGTTCATGTAGCTATTCAACATGATCTACAAAAATATTCAGCAGTCCTGCAAATTTATGAAAGGAATCTATTAAGAATTATTAAAAACAATCTGAAATTTCAAAGGACATTCTACAGGTAGTTCTTGCAAAAAATGAAAATGCAGTAAATTGCAAATTGCTAATTGATAAAACCACTTAAACAGAAACTCACTTCTGTTTAAGTGTTTCATCAATTGGATTCTGGTCATTGGATAATCCTTAAGACATTTGTCAGAAATCACTATACAACTTAAAAGTTACTGTATGATATGGATGTCAATTTTTGGAATTGTTGGATCTTACTTTTTTGAAGAGAGTAATCAGTCACTGTTAACTCAAATCATCATGTGTAAATGCTAGAACACTTTTAAGATCAGAATTAGAAAGGCTGGGAAAAGACACAGTTTAGTTTCAGCAGGATAAAGCAATGGTGCATCAGCAAGACATAGCTATAATGTTTTAATGGAAATGTTTCCTAGCAAATTGATTTCAAATACGGAGGCATAAACTGGCTGCCAAGATCCCGATTTATGTGGAACCTAACTTCTTTTTGTAGGGATATCCAAGGAAAGTGTATAAAAAAGCCAACCCCCAATGATTTAAGAATTAAAAAACATTTCAAAAGAAATCAGAGGCATCAATCAAGAGTTCCTAGTTAGATATATGTATAAGTTTAGAAACAGGTTAGAACAGCATTTAGATGCTGACAGAGGCCATTTAAAGGATGTTAATTTTAATAAATAAATTGCTAAAATATAAATATTGTTGAATACAAGCTTCTTTCTTTATGTCCATTACTCCTTTTATCAATTTATGAAAATGTGTCATACTGATTCTGAACTCTGTAAACGTGCAAATAACCACAAAATATAATAGAAAGTTCTTAATTTAAAAAGTTTTAATTTTTCAATATTCATGCTATACTAAAGAAATATTAAAATAAGATTATTATAGGAGATACAATAAAAGTGAGTAAATTATATATAATATTATTTAATTACTTATTAAATAAGGGATAGATTCATTAACAATAGCGAGGTTGAGGCCGAAGTTTCAAACACGAAAACGTATACGTCGGACGTTCAGCGCCGCTTTCCCATAAGTCTAGAAGTTTGACAATAGTGTTTGGAATGTCGAGCATGACTCCACCGACTATCCAAACACCATTGTCAAACTTCTAGGCTTACAGGTAAGCGGTGCTGAACGTCCGACGTACACGTTTTCACGTTTAAAACTTCGGCCTCAACCTCACTAATATTTCATACAGATTCATATATATCAATATTTTAAAATTTTTCAAAGAAAATCATAAATTTAATAAACAGAAATTTAAATAATAAGCCTGATTTATTATTAAAAGCCAAATATTAACTGTGAAACTTTCAGATTATAATCTTTAGACCACATTACAGTTTCACATATAATCATTAGGTTAATGACAGCCAAAAATCCAGCAGTTAATATTTGATTTAAAAAATTATATGCATTTTTGTCATCAATAATTCTCAAAATAAATTTTACTAGTTAGTGGGATGTTTTCTCTGATGATGAGGTAAAGCAGAAAGTGAATATAAAGTGTAGTAATTTATTATGATTAGCTCCATAGAGAAGTTTTATTGAGCTTTAATATAGCTTTGCTGCTGAATTTATCATTACAGGAAATGAGCTAAAAAATTTCATGACAGTACAGTATATAAAAATGTACAGTCTTCAGTAACTTACTATCATAATATAATGCTCAATATTGCAAAGACTTCTGGAGATCAAAAACACTCATTAATTATAATTTTTCTATTGTTAAAAAGTTTTAAATTACTGTACAAATTTTTCAAAATCTTTACCCAAGTTAGCAAGTAATTATAATTGTAAAAAATTTGTTAGAGAATAAAAATTTCAATGTTTTATTTAAAATACATTAAAATTAATATAAAATATAAAATAAATAGGAAATATTATAAAACTTTTATTAAATACGGATTTAAGAGTAATAAAAGAATACTCTAAATTTAAAATGCACTTCAATTTGAAATACAGAAACAAATAGAAAAGTATATTTCATATTCAAAGTAATGTGATATTATTATTTATGTATTCAACATGACTTACCAATGACTGTTAATTTTGCAGTAGATGAAACATCCCCTATTTCATTTGTTGCAATAACTTTATATTCACCAGCATCATCTGTTGTTACATCATTAATAGTTAATGATATGTGGCCATTTTCTTCCATTTTTGAAGAGAATTTTTGACCATATTCAATTTTCTTTCCATCTTTAAACCTATGTCAGTAAGTATTAATAAACTGTTTAAAACTATTTTTAAAAACTTTTCCTAAAATAATATCTATTCTATATAAATCCTGGAAAAATAATGACAATTAGTTAATAAGAAATCATTATTATTAAGATGCATTTTAGAAAATAATGGTTAGTTTTGATTTAACAATATACTTTCTAATTTTGATCTCCTTTAGTAAATATCATATATCACTGACTTTTATGTTTATGCAATAGTAGACTGTAACCTAACAAACATTTCATGATACTACAAATAAAATTTAGAACAATAAATAAATACAAATGGTTCAAAAGAATCTCTTAAAATTTTTTTCTTTAAGAAATAGTCCCAATTCTGTTGTTTTTTGTTACAGGAAATATTTCATTTTTTCTCATTCATCTCTTTACAATAAAAACTTTCATTAAGATATTCCATCAATAATACAGTCATAATTGTCATTCTCAAGCCAAAATAAGTTTATCAATGCCCAAAGGATTGATTCTGGGAGGTTTTCATTCTAGAAGCAAAAATTCTTAAAAAATTTTATTTTTTTCTCAGCAATATCAAAATGCTATCATCTATTCTTTAGTCTGGTTTAATATATAACCCAAAAGTTGATTGTCTTATCAAGTAAATATAGGAAGAATAGGCCTCAATTTATAAATTCAAGAATTTAAATTTTTTGCCAAATTTCAAGAGAGTCTCAGCAAGTATGGGGAGTTGACAATTTTAACTGATGGTAAAAAAGTTTTACATAAAAACAAATAAATGATGATATCAAGTATCATGAGAAATGAATGAGAAAATTTAAATGACTTTGAATGAGAAAAGTTATACAGTAGAACCTCGAAAACTCGGCCTAATGTGGACCGAAGGGTGGCCGAGTTTATGAAAATGCCAGGTTATCGGAAATGGGGATAAAAAAGAATAAGTACGAGTGTTTCCTCAGAAAATACTGTACTGTACTTGTATGTATTGTTTACTTGAGAATATAACAGAGAATAAACTGCCCAAATACCCTTAAACAAAGGAAAAGTACGTCCTTTATGAAGGCATAGAGCCTTTACTACATGAAAATGAAAATTAATGAATACACTGTGTACAGTAATTTACCTGATAAGACAGACCTCAGAAAAATACTTTATGAGAGCTTTTATACTTTTATAAAGCTGNTTCATACATATCAATATTTTAAAATTTTTTAAAGAAAATCATAAATTTAATAAACAGAAATTTAAATAATAAGCCTGATTTATTATTAAAAGCCAAATATTAACTGTGAAACTTTCAGGTTATAATCTTTAGACCACATTACAGTTTCACATATAATCATTAGGTTAATGATAGCCAAAAATCCAGCAGTTAATATTTGATTTAAAAAATTATATGCATTTTTGTCATCAATAATTCTCAAAATAAATTTTACTAGTTAGTGGGATGTTTTCTCTGATGATGAGGTAAAGCAGAAAGTGAATATAAAGTGTAGTAATTTATTATGATTAACTCCATAGAGAAGTTTTATTGAGCTTTAATATAGCTTTGCTGCTGAATTTATCATTACAGGAAATGAGCTCAAAAATTTCATGACAGTACAGTATATAAAAATGTACAGTCTTCAGTAACTTACTATCATAATATAATGCTCAATATTGCAAAGACTTCTGGAGATCAAAAACACTCATTAATTATAATTTTTCTATTGTTAAAAAGTTTTAAATTACTGTACAAATTTTTCAAAATCTTTACCCAAGTTAGCAAGTAATTATAATTGTAAAAAATTTGTTAGAGAATAAAAATTTCAATGTTTTATTTAAAATACATTAAAATTAATATAAAATATAAAATAAATAGGAAATATTATAAAACTTTTATTAAATACGGATTTAAGAGTAATAAAAGAATACTCTAAATTTAAATTGCACTTCAATTTGAAATACAGAAACAAATAGAAAAGTATATTTCATATTCAAAGTAATGTGATATTATTATTTATGTATTCAACATGACTTACCAATGACTGTTAATTTTGCAGTAGATGAAACATCCCCTATTTCATTTGTTGCAATAACTTTATATTCACCAGCATCATCTGTTGTTACATCATTAATAGTTAATGATATGTGGCCATTTTCTTCCATTTTTGAAGAGAATTTTTGACCATATTCAATTTTCTTTCCATCTTTAAACCTATGTCAGTAAGTATTAATAAACTGTTTAAAACTATTTTTAAAAACTTTTCCTAAAATAATATCTATTCTATATAAATCCTGGAAAAATAATGACAATTAGTTAATAAGAAATCATTATTATTAAGATGCATTTTAGAAAATAATGGTTAGTTTTGATTTAACAATATACTTTCTAATTTTGATCTCCTTTAGTAAATATCATATATCACTGACTTTTATGTTTATGCAATAGTAGACTGTAACCTAACAAACATTTCATGATACTACAAATAAAATTTAGAACAATAAATAAATACAAATGGTTCAAAAGAATCTCTTAAAATTTTTTTCTTTAAGAAATAGTCCCAATTCTGTTGTTTTTTGTTACAGGAAATATTTCATTTTTTCTCATTCATCTCTTTACAATAAAAACTTTCATTAAGATATTCCATCAATAATACAGTCATAATTGTCATTCTCAAGCCAAAATAAGTTTATCAATGCCCAAAGGATTGATTCTGGGAGGTTTTCATTCTAGAAGCAAAAATTCTTAAAAAATTTTATTTTTTTCTCAGCAATATCAAAATGCTATCATCTATTCTTTAGTCTGGTTTAATATATAACCCAAAAGTTGATTGTCTTATCAAGTAAATATAGGAAGAATAGGCCTCAATTTATAAATTCAAGAATTTAAATTTTTTGCCAAATTTCAAGAGAGTCTCAGCAAGTATGGGGAGTTGACAATTTTAACTGATGGTAAAAAAGTTTTACATAAAAACAAATAAATGATGATATCAAGTATCATGAGAAATGAATGAGAAAATTTAAATGACTTTGAATGAGAAAAGTTATACAGTAGAACCTCGAAAACTCGGCCTAATGTGGACCGAAGGGTGGCCGAGTTTATGAAAATGCCAGGTTATCGGAAATGGGGATAAAAAAGAATAAGTACGAGTGTTTCCTCAGAAAATACTGTACTGTACTTGTATGTATTGTTTACTTGAGAATATAACAGAGAATAAACTGCCCAAATACCCTTAAACAAAGGAAAAGTACGTCCTTTATGAAGGCATAGAGCCTTTACTACATGAAAATGAAAATTAATGAACACACTGTGTACAGTAATTTACCTGATAAGACAGACCTCAGAAAAATACTTTATGAGAGCTTTTATACTTTTATAAAGCTGTCTATAATGAAAATTAATTAACTAAGAATTTTTTTGCCTTGCCAGGGTGTAGCCGAGTTATCCGGAGTGCCGGGTTATCGAGAGCCGAGTTTTCGAGGTTCTTCTGTATTTTTAAATTATTTTATCTATATTAGATTTTAAAAAGCCATTAATAAAAAGGTTAAATATTTTTTCAAATTTTTATAAACAAATTAATAATAATCTCAAAAAATATCAAAATAAATATACCAAGCAACATCAGGTTTAGGTTCTCCTGAAACTTTTGCTTCAAAAGTAGCTTGTTTCTTTTCAGAACATTCTAGATTGTCCAAATTCTTGATGAAATTAGGCTTTGACTTTTTAACTTTTGCTGTTGAAAACATTAAATTGTATATGTAATTACAATGCATATAATAATAAAAAGTATTGATACATAAATTATAACATTAAAAGTCAAAATCTCAGTTTTATGAAATTTAATCCTATAAGTAAATTCAATAAAAGAGATTAAAAACATATTATTACATAAATATTCAAAATTCTAATTTGAAAAGTAAGTATAAAAATATTCAAACTAATAAAATTTATAACTATACTTTCAATGTATTTGAATACAGTATATACATAATCTTTTAACATAGTTATGTTATCATAGATATTAAAAAATAATTTAAAAAATTATTAAGAAAAAGTAACACTTTGCAATTAAAAATTTTCAGTATTATTATGTAAATATTACATTTATATATTTTGAAAACTTTCCAAAATAAAAAATTATAATTTACATTCATTAGTGAAACTGAATTTGAGACTGAAACATGTTTTATTTCACTAAGCAATTTTTGTTTTAAAAAGTTTATATATTAAAAATATTTTAAATATTTCATATAAATACCATTTTTAAAAAATTAGAAATATGTGTAAATATTTTCAAGAATTGATTGCATATAATATTTTTTAAAACATGAGCCAAATATATCTGTATAAATAAAAATGTAAATGTTCGTTTGTTCAAAATCTCAAATCTCCGAAAGTTCTTAACTAATTGCTTTGAAATTTTGACACAACGTTGTATTCAAATATGCACGTGTTTTTATATTATATAAATGTTGAAATTACCCCCTGTGGGGAAGAGAAACAGGATTAAGGCTTACAGTGAAGAACTGGTCCTCTATTGTCAATGTTTTTAATGCATTTTCTCTCCTGCTGAATCTGACACTACACCTCCACAATACATCACAAATGCAAAATTTTTCTGGTCTCTTAGTTATCTAGCATACCCTCAGTGTGATTGCCTGTGTTTCTATTTCCATGAAAATATTAGTCATGTTACAAATCTTGTTTTCCTGTTTACTCATGTTTTATTTCTCAGCACAGCATTGCATGTCAGCATGCCATATCATATTTGCCTTCCAAAAAGAACAATCAGTACCAAAGGATGATAGGTACTGATTGATTCTTTAGGCCTATACACATATGCAGCATCCTCACTAATCTGTGCAAGGAATGATCAGATTAGCAAGAGACTAGTGTGTGAGTATGTGTGTGTGTGCATATATAATAAACCATGTCCAAATTACCAAATTATGTAATTTCTATATATTTAAGTAACCAGGTTCTAGCCAAACAATAAATCTGGCATTATCATTTGATTATTAACAGATAATTTGGGTTTGGTTTACTATATGATTAAAGTCTGACTGATTTTAGATTTTATTTCAAATAAAAACCGTTTTTCAATATTCCATCTAATTTCTTTATAAAACAATAAAATTTTTTGTATTTTCTTGGTTTTTCTATACTATTTATTTATTATGTTATATAATTAAAATACAAGTAAAGTTTGTAAAATTTTGTTTACATTTAAATACAGTTGACCCCCCTATAACACTGTTGATAATTCCATTTTATATGAATTCCATGTTGTACGAGTCACTTAGATTTTACAAATACGTATGCCGGGCTGTGAACAGCTCACGTATTTGTAAAATCTAAGTGACTCGTACAACATGGAATTCATATAAAATGGAATTATCAACAGTGTTATAGGGGGGTCAACTGTATTTAAATGTAAACAAAATTTTACAAACTTTACTTGTATTTTAATTATATAACATAATAAATAAATAGTATAGAAAAACCAAGAAAATACAAAAAATTTTATTGTTTTATAAAGAAATTAGATGGAATATTGAAAAACGGTTTTTATTTGAAATAAAATCTAAAATCAGTCAGACTTTAATCATATAGTAAACCAAACCCAAATTATCTGTTAATAATCAAATGATAATGCCAGATTTATTGTTTGGCTAGAACCTGGTTACTTAAATATATAGAAATTACATAATTTGGTAATTTGGACATGGTTTATTATATATGCACACACACACATACTCACACACTAGTCTCTTGCTAATCTGATCATTCCTTGCACAGATTAGTGAGGATGCTGCATATGTGTATAGGCCTAAAGAATCAATCAGTACCTATCATCCTTTGGTACTGATTGTTCTTTTTGGAAGGCAAATATGATATGGCATGCTGACATGCAATGCTGTGCTGAGAAATAAAACATGAGTAAACAGGAAAACAAGATTTGTAACATGACTAATATTTTCATGGAAATAGAAACACAGGCAATCACACTGAGGGTATGCTAGATAACTAAGAGACCAGAAAAATTTTGCATTTGTGATGTATTGTGGAGGTGTAGTGTCAGATTCAGCAGGAGAGAAAATGCATTAAAAACATTGACAATAGAGGACCAGTTCTTCACTGTAAGCCTTAATCCTGTTTCTCTTCCCCACAGGGGGTAATTTCAACATTTATATAATATAAAAACACGTGCATATTTGAATACAACGTTGTGTCAAAATTTCAAAGCAATTAGTTAAGAACTTTCGGAGATTTGAGATTTTGAACAAACGAACATTTACATTTTTATTTATACAGATATATTTGGCTCATGTTTTAAAAAATATTATATGCAATCAATTCTTGAAAATATTTACACATATTTCTAATTTTTTAAAAATGGTATTTATATGAAATATTTAAAATATTTTTAATATATAAACTTTTTAAAACAAAAATTGCTTAGTGAAATAAAACATGTTTCAGTCTCAAATTCAGTTTCACTAATGAATGTAAATTATAATTTTTTATTTTGGAAAGTTTTCAAAATATATAAATGTAATATTTACATAATAATACTGAAAATTTTTAATTGCAAAGTGTTACTTTTTCTTAATAATTTTTTAAATTATTTTTTAATATCTATGATAACATAACTATGTTAAAAGATTATGTATATACTGTATTCAAATACATTGAAAGTATAGTTATAAATTTTATTAGTTTGAATATTTTTATACTTACTTTTCAAATTAGAATTTTGAATATTTATGTAATAATATGTTTTTAATCTCTTTTATTGAATTTACTTATAGGATTAAATTTCATAAAACTGAGATTTTGACTTTTAATGTTATAATTTATGTATCAATACTTTTTATTATTATATGCATTGTAATTACATATACAATTTAATGTTTTCAACAGCAAAAGTTAAAAAGTCAAAGCCTAATTTCATCAAGAATTTGGACAATCTAGAATGTTCTGAAAAGAAACAAGCTACTTTTGAAGCAAAAGTTTCAGGAGAACCTAAACCTGATGTTGCTTGGTATATTTATTTTGATATTTTTTGAGATTATTATTAATTTGTTTATAAAAATTTGAAAAAATATTTAACCTTTTTATTAATGGCTTTTTAAAATCTAATATAGATAAAATAATTTAAAAATACAGAAGAACCTCGAAAACTCGGCTCTCGATAACCCGGCACTCCGGATAACTCGGCTACACCCTGGCAAGGCAAAAAAATTCTTAGTTAATTAATTTTCATTATAGACAGCTTTATAAAAGTATAAAAGCTCTCATAAAGTATTTTTCTGAGGTCTGTCTTATCAGGTAAATTACTGTACACAGTGTATTCATTAATTTTCANACAAATGTAAAAGGTGTACTTCTATGGTGTGTAAAAAGGAAGAATTGATAGACTCAAAAATTAAATTTTTTGTAAATAGTCTGAACTTCTAATTATAATTTAAAATATTCTCATTCAAAAATGTACATTAATTATGACATAAATATAATCTGTATTAAGTTCATCTTTACAATAACTGAAACTATTTTAATTTTTAAATATTCTTTTATATTTATTTATATATTTTAATTCTAAAATTTATGATTTAAATATCTTTATATTCTATATAAAAGATGAAAATGTTTATATAGTATGATATATATTCATATATCAATGTCCTTTGTCTGTATTTTAGTTAATTAATTAAACATTTTGTTCAAATACACATTATTCAAATACACAACTGTATTATCATATATAGTAGCCGCTAGTATATGATATGGTAAGTCTGTTGTTGGTTGTGTTTGAACCAAATGTTTAATAATTAAATAAACATTTGGTTCAAACACACTGAAAATGTTTGTTTATTAAATAAATTTTTTAATCTAAAGGAATTATTTTTGAAGTCATAAATTTCAATCAAATAATCAAACAAAGCAGTTCATACTCTTATACATATGTTTACAGATTAGTTTTGTACTATTATAAAAATAAAATTTAACTTAGCAAATATTGCATTTAATTATATTTAATTCTAAAAAAATGTTTAAAAAATATATAAAACATTTTTTACCATTTTATATCAGGTTTTGGTTCACTATCAAATTTTGCTTCTAATTTGAAAGGTTCTCCTTCCTTAACTGTTAAAGTACCAGGAAGAGTTTTTTGCACTGATGGTGGAACTTCTGTTAATTTAAAAACAAATTATATCTATTATTATTGTACAAGTTACAATTATAATATTTCATTAAAAATATTATCTATCTATTGATAGATTATTATTCTAATATATAGTAAAACTTCACTTAATGTGACCACCTTTGGAATATACAATTTTTGGCCACAAGTGGGATTAAAACAAAACTGACATACAGAACTGTAATTACAGTATTATCAGTATTATATACAGAATCCTTCTAATAAAAGTATAATGCAGATTGTAAAAGTAAACAAATAATAATGGTAAACTGATATAATACTGTACATTCTTTGCAATATACAGTAATTCACATTTTCATATAAGATAATGTAACCTATAATTTAATATTCTGAGATATGAAAGGGTTTCATTAATCTACTGAGAAAAACACCCAACAAACTAAACAAGCAGTAGATGTTATAAAATTAATTTATTTATGTGTGATATAACTATGTACAGGTTTAAATAAAGGATGCCAACTCCAAAACAGTTACTCCAGCAATAACCCTAAACCCATTTATTGATGGAACAATTACAAAATAAAAATGGTCATGACACCCAAATCATGATAACACTTATCCAACATAATCAACAAAACTAATTATTACAATAATAATTTTCCTAAAACTAACTATTAACACTAAACTTACTCTAATAAAAGAAAATTGAAAATGGAGTGAGAGGTAGCTAAGATGGTGGATAGGATAGAAAAGAAAACCCAGGTAGTGCGAATGTCATTTGGTTACCATGAGGACCATGTGAGAGCTTCTTAACAAAATTCTCACTTCTGTTTTTCCTTTTCCTAGTTCTTGAGGGTTTTCATGCATTTGGTTCCAACAGCTGGTCACACATTCAGACTCATCAAGCTAAGACACTGACTCAAACACACTAACTTCAGGCCAGGAATTTCAAAGTTTTCACTTGATGTTTTGACTTCACCTGTCTACTTGGGCATTGTACACTATAACGTTTCTCCTTTCATCATCCTCCTTCTTCAAGCACTAGCTCAAAAAGCACCTTCCTTCACTTTGTATGCTCTCAGGTAACCTTGTATACATTGTGTTGGTGAATTCCAGGAAGTGGCCTTCACTTCCAACAAAGAAGAATTCAAAAGATTGGAAAGTTCTAGAAAGTGGAAAGAACAAAGAGCAGGGAAAATTGTCAAAAGAACAAAAGGATAAAAGCATACAATACAGCCAGAAGTCTATTATTCAATATTAATACATGTACAGTGAATACAAGCTGTTTGCAATAAAATTTATTTAATTACTGTATGTACAGTACTAAATGGAATTCTTTGGTACCTATAGATAGGAATCAATATGTTTATGAAACAGTAGTAAAGGTTTTATTTAATACTGTATTTTAACAGGAGTTCCCAAACAGACAGAAGTGTCCAAATGCTGGTAAAAAATGTTAATTAAATAAATTTTTACATCAAGCTCATCAATATTTTTCTTTGTTAAGTGTTGCAAGTGACATAGACTGATTTACATAGGTATATTTTTACAAAATATAATGAGATTTTATATAAAATGACTGAACAAATATGTAATTGTCTTTCTTCTTACTAATTTCTGAAGATAAATTTAATTTATCAAGTATTAATAATTTATTTTTTTTGGTCCTCATCTGTCAGAAGAATTTCAGAAAACTCTTCCAAAACTATAAGAACAAAGCTCAATTCTATTTAAAGCAGTTTAAATAATATGTTGAGTTTAGGAATTCACGATTTTCCTGTTCTATTGGCAATGTAAATGGAGATAAATATAACTTGAGGACATGCCTATCATGGCCACTTAAATGAAATTAAGGTGGCCACTGAAATGATATTTAAGGTGCGTTTCAAATTTATACAGACACAAAAAAATTAAAGTGAAATCCAAATTTGCTGCATTAAGTGACAAATGTTTTATTAAAAATAACATGGATTTACATGTTTCCACACTGCAAAATAAGAATTTTAATCAAACATTAACGTTTTGTCACTGAAAATAATATTTTTGAAAATTTTGTACAAAAAGATTGCTACATATTTATCTGGACAGGCACTCATTTTATGACTTAAATAGAATATTGTTTAGTTTCAAGCATTGAAATATGCAAATTAGCTTACATATCTAATTGTAATACAAATTCTTTATGTTGTTCAAAGTTCTAAAATGGGTAGCACAAAGAATTTATCTGATTATGAAAAAGGGCGGATTGATGCATATAAATCACAACACAAGTCAATAAGACAAATTGCAGCGCATATAAATCGTCCAAAATCAACTGTTGGTGATTATTTATCAAAAAGACATGGCAAGGATGTACCAAAATTCAAGACAGGTCCAAAACCCAAGCTTACACTTTGAGATTGTAGTCAAATTATCAAGGTTTGCTCCACAAAACAAACATCAGTAAATAAAATAAAACAAGAATTAGACTTGCCTTATAGCAGCACAACAGTGTGGCGAGTTTTAAATAAATCTCCAATGTTAAAATTCAGAAAAAAAGCTGTAATGCCATCACTTTCATTAAAGCACAAAAGTGACAGACTTGATTGGGCACAAAAACACGACATGGTCCAAAGAATAGATTGAAGTTTTGTTCAATAACAAAAATTAATTCAACTTAGATGGTCCAGATGGTTGGAAGTATTATTGGCACAATTTAAGAACTGAAACATAAATATTTTCAAAACACCAAATGGGGGGATCAATAATGGTGTGGGGTGCATTTGGATTCAATGAAACCACAGATTTAGCATTTATAACTCAAAGAATGAATTCAGAGAAGTATCAATGCATGCTTGAAGATCATTTATTGGAAACTGGACCAAATTGGATCTTTCAACAAGACAATGCCCCTGTGCATGCCTCTAAACCAACAAAAATGTGGTTTAAATGTAAAAATATTAATCTGATGACATGGCCTGCTAGAAGTCCTGACCTGAATCCAATGGAAAATCTTTGGGGGGATGATGGTTCGTACAGTTTATGCCAATAAAAAGCAGTTTTCCACAATTCATAATTTGAAGGCAGCAATTTCAGATGCTTGGGATAAACTTAAGATTGAATTCCTTCAGAATCTAATTGAAACAATGCCTAATCGAGTATTTAATGTAATTAAGTTAAATGGTGGTTACATTGGCCATTAAATTGTAAGAAAACTTTGCAATTTGAAACCTGTCCGGATAAATATGTAACAGTTTTTTTGTATAAGATTTTCAAAAATATTATTTTCAGTGACAAAATATTAATGTTTGATTAAAATTCTTATTTTGCAGTGTAGAAACATGTAAATCCATATTATTTTTAATAAAACATTTGTCACTTAATGCAGCAAATTTGGGTTTCACTTTAATTTTTTTGTGTCCATATAAATTTGAAACGCACCTTAATTTAGGCCTATAATAAAATATATGCAGTATTTTGGGGAGTTTTAGGGGTGACCAGTGAGTTGAGTGAGATTTTACTCTATATAAAATAGTTTATTTTAATATAATTAAATCTCTTACATGTGGTTTTATTAGAATATATTTAAAAAATTAAGGTATAAATTAAATAATTTTTAATTTTAATACATACTTAATTCTATTTTTATATCATGAAAATGTTCCTGAAAAAACAGTGTAAAAAATAAAGTGCATAATGAAAATAGATTAGCTCCAGACCTCAAATAGTAGTAAAAATAATATGATAAACCAATTAAAATAATACAGTAGAGTCCTGAAAACTCGGCCTAATGTGGACCGAAGGATGGCCGAGTTTGTGAAAATGCCAGGTTATCGGAAATGGGGTTAAAAAAGAATAAGTACGAGTGTTTCCTCAGAAAATACTGTACTGTACTTGTATGTATTGTTTGCTTGAAAATACAACAGAGAATAAACTGCCCAAATACCCTTAAACAAAGGAAAAGTACATACTTTATGAAGGCATAGTGTCTTTACTATATGAAAATGAAAATTAATGAATACAGTGTACAGTAATTTACCTGATAAGACAGACCTCAGAAAAATACTTTATGAGGCATAATGCTGTCTATAATGAAAACTAACTAGGGATTTTTTCGCTCTGCCAGGGTGTGGCTGAGTTATCCGAACTGCCGGGTTATCAAGTGCCGAGTTTTCGGGACTCTACTGTAGTATTAGTTCAAATAAACCATAATAAATTCTAGTTCTAAATGTTAATTTGGTTTTTTGTGCATTTTTTATTTCATGAACTTATAAGAATAAATGTATATAAAGTATATTAACATTCCTAAATAAAATATGACACTAATTCATGAACACAGAAGTTGGCAAAAAATATGATTTGAATACATGCATAATAACAATATCTAACTACGTTAGATCAAAACAAATTATACAAAAGAGGATTAAACTTTATGTTATACTATGTTATATCCAAACCGTATAAAGACAATCCTCACAAAAATAGTATTGAGTATTTAAGTAATTAAGTTTATATAAAATTAAAGAGAAATTACCAATAAGATGTAATGCTCCTTTGCATGAAACTTCTCCAGCAGTATTTTTAGCTTTGCAAGTAAAGACAGCTATATCATCAACACTTAATCCATGAATTTCTAATTTAAAATTGTCTTCTTTATGAGAAATTTTATAATGATCACTGGAAACTACAGGAACATTATTCTTAAGCCTAAAAAACAAAATTAAATTTATGACATACATAAATAATACATTCATGAATACTTTTTTATTAAATTATAATTATGTATTTATTATATTTGTGCAACATAATCTGCAATTGTTTTTACTTTTATTTTTTAAATGCTTATTGAATATATTATGCATTTTTTCAAATTGTTCATTACAATGACAAGATTTATTTTTGAACAGTTACTGTTTTCTTATCAATAAAATAAGAAAACAGTAACTATTCAAGAATTCTGTTTGTGTTTCTTGTGTCATTCAGAATATTTTAAGTTGAAAATCATTATCCAAACTTTTGATAGCAATAAATTTAAAACATTTTGTAAAATATAAAATTTAAATTATTCTTCTTATTTTATAAAGTAGTTTCAAATAATTTATAAATATGTTGATGATGGATTTACAGATTCAAAAAACACTAAGACAGATATTTATGTTTTTATTTATTTATAAATGATCTGCCTTATATCAAATTTTTCTTAGAAACCCAAACATCTCTAAGATAATAAAAACCACTGTCTTTTGTTGTTAAGTCTTTTAATTAACATCAAAAATTAATAAGTATTTTCTTTTTATCTGATTTATTCTTATTTACTATTATACTAATTAATTTAATATAGTGTATCACACTCACTGTAATTTTTATTCATATATTTCAATTTTAAATAATAAGTTATTATAGATTGTACAAAATTAAAAATTTATAAAATATTGTTTAAACAATCTAGCCATAATATTTTATTTTATATTTATTCTATAGCAGTTCATATTCTAAAATTCTTTTCGTTAAAAAAACTTTTTGAGCATGAACTGCTATTAAGAGATGCTATCTTAATTAAATTAACTTTGAATGAAAAATTTAAATTGAATGAAGAAATGCTAGAATTATTCATTCTTAGCAAGATTTAATTATTTAATATTTCTTCTATAACAGAGATATAATTACCATGTAACTTCAGGTAATGGGTAACCACTTAGTCGTACTTCAAATATTATGTTATCACCTTTTTTTGCTTCTCTATCACCAATTTCTTTCAAAAATTTTGGAGGTTCATCTGAAATGGTTACATTCTTTGTAAAACTAATTTATACTTAAAAGTTATCTATTACTTATATAACAAAACATTAAAAACATCTGTAACTATTAATTTAATTTTGCATAATCATAAACGAATTAAATTTAAATTTTTGTTTTTAATAAACTTTTTCTCATTTTTAATATTTATTCAATATTCATAAAAATAAAAGTTAAAAAAAAATTATATATTTATTTCGTATATCAAACTTTTTATTTTATTTTTATAGTGTGGAGCAAAATTATATGCTCTAAATAATTCAAAAGATTTTTTAAAACATCTTTTGAATTATTTAAAAGATTTTTTAAAAAATCTTTTGAATTATTTAGAGTAGATGGACAGAATTTTACATATATTTTTATCATTATCTTCTAATGATGCACATCAAATATCATCCTGATCAATTAATCCAAACATAATAACAAAAAATAGTCATTTCAGTATAAATATTTCATCATATGAATTTCTATTTGATAATTTGATTGTATATACTCAATATATTGCACCCTTGGTTTTAACTTATTAAATTTATAATAAATTAGATGTTCTACATGAAGTATTATAGTACATTGCATAAATAATATATCATATAAACATTATTTTATTCTGAATGTATTATTTAAGGAATTTGATAACAGCTGTAATATTATATAATATAAAAATGTGATTTTGCTGAATACAGTGATACCTCAGGATACGAACGCCCCAGCATACGAAATTTTCAGGATACAACATGAAATTCGAACATATTTTTGCTCCACGATATGAACAAAAACTCACCATACGACATTACATTAGTTCGCAGTGCCATTTTTTATTCACTTCTGTTCATTGGTCTCACTCTGCGTTTGCTTCGTCATGGAAGGATCTCTTGATAAAGGAAATCTTGAGGTATTATCAGAAAGTGACTGATTTTATTAAAAAGAAACATCCCGAAAAGGTTCACACTAGCTGTATTGCTGCTTGGAGTAATAACATTTGCCTAAGTCATTTTAGAAACATTTTAAAAAGTAGGCAAAGCCAAACCTCTTTGGATAGATATTTTACCAAGCGACCTCTATCCAGTGAAAGTGCTGGTGGAAGTTGTTACGGAAAGATCTGGCAACACCAGAGAGAGAGCGGCACGTGCAAGACAGACGGCCCTGATTAATGTACGCGACTGGAGATCGTCCGGTCCAAGTAGAACCCTGAATAAAGTATTCAGAGTACGTGTTTGTATTCCTGTCTTACTGGGGGTCTTAAGTGCGTCACGAACGGCGTGTAAACACAAAGCAAACCATATAAAACAGAAGTGAAAGAAAGAAAGCAAAAAGCAGTGAATAAAAATTAAAAAAAAAAAAGTGTGTGTGTGTATATATATACACTTTTTTTTTTTTTTAAATTAGTGTTGTTTTATATATATGTATGTATATATATATAAAACAACACTAATTTTTTTATCTTTTCTAAGTTACTTTTAAGTTATTGTTATGTTATGTAAGTAAGTTAAGTTTTAGTATCATTTTCCTTCTCCCTCTCTTCCGCCACCAGTTTACACCTCCACCATCAAGTCACCAGTTTACACCTCCACCACTTATCCTCAAAGGTAAAGTGCAAATAAAACTATATTTTTTTTAAAAATCAATTACTATTCTATTATGGTTATTTATACATTTACAACTACAAAATGCATTTTTAAGTGTTTTCCTTACTATAGTTTTTTTTTTTTTCAATGTACTACTTAGCTTTAATTTGAGTGTGTTTTTCGTGTTGGAATGAATTATTTGGTTTTACTTGTAATGTATGGGGAAAGATGATTCACCTTACGACATTTTCATGATACGATCTCAGTTTCAGAATGGATTAATTTCGTATCCTGAGGTACCACTGTACTGAATATTAAACAATCAACTAACATCAAAACTTAATTATTTACATAGTATGTTTGGTGGTAATTCAAAACAAACACCTTCCTATTCCATTAATAATTTGCAACTAAAAGATATTTTTCAGTCATTTAAAATGGATGAAAACATTATAAAAATAAAACCTAGATTCTTGGATTTGGATTTTAAAAACTGAGAATTGACATCATTTAACACATCGTACTGTCAGTTGTTGTTATATTTAGTACTTCGTAAAGTTTGTTTACATTTACATGTGTGTTGTATTTTTGTTAAGTTTATTTATACATAATTTAACTTAGTTTTTATTGTGAATAATTTCTTTTTTTTTTCTACATGTAATGTTGTGTAAAACTATAATTTATTTTGAATTTGAATTAAAAACACTTCTATATAAGCTGAAACTCATTTAGCTAGGAACAACACTTTAAATACTTTTTCAGCAACATTTAATTTATTTAAATGAATGTTTTCAAACCCTGTTCATTGGTCATGTTAAACCTGATGCAAATTTATGAAAAGTGATTAAAATTTGTTTAAATAAATTAGTGTTGTTCAAGTGGAATTTCAATACATATACTTAAGGCACATCATTCCTTTTAAAAATATTCCATAGCTGTTTCATTCTGTGTTTAGAAGTGTTTGATTTTATTTTGTTTTGATGTAATCTGAAGATAGAATAATTGTAACCAAAATTATTAATTCAATAAATTATTTCTGACATCTAGAAATTCTTCCAACATTTCAGTTTTTGAATATAAAGTTAAATAATGGAATAGACAGGTTTACTAAATACCTATTGCCTTAGAACTAAAATAAAAATCATATTATTTCAAATTTATTAAAATTAAAAATTCTATAAAGTATTTGTTTAAAAATAATTTCACTAGATCACATAGTGACTATATATTGTTTATATTGAAAATTTCAAATAGATTTTTTAATATGACCTATTAACATAAATAATTTAAAATAAGAAAGCCTAAAAACTTTTTTATTTTAACTTAGTTAATAAATCTGATGATAAATGACTTACAAAAATGGACTGTAAACATTCATTCATTATAAATTATTGATGGATTATAAAGATTCTTTGTTTTAAATTGGCAACAAATACATATAATAATTTAATTTTATGTATTATGTGCTTAATTTAATTTAAAGCAAAATTACATTTTTATAATACTGTGAAGGTCCAAAACCCTTTTGTTTTAGAACAGTATCACCCCTCTAATAAACCTTGTGATTAGGTGAAAAGGAAAAAAGGGGGCCTTCTGCAGTCGATGACCAAGACAATCTCCTTGAAAAAAATTGTTAGTATATCAATAAAAGAAAACTCCTCCATTTGTTTAAAGGTAATTCTATAGACATTAATATCAACAAGACAGGAATAAGAGATGTTTCTTACCCCCTCTTTGGTTGCATGTGACATGTGGTTACAGCAATAAATCGCCTCGTTCGTAGTCAAACGCAACGTTTAATATAAACAATATCTAGATTGTTGATCAGTTTACAGAAATTATTGTCAGCTAAATGTTAATTTATGGTTGAGAGCCGTCAAACCTATAGAAATTTATATTATAAAATCATATCTTCTAGACCACGGGTTCCCAACCTATGGGTCGCGACCCAGAAGGGGAAAACCCGTCGCGACCCCCTTCTGGGTCACGACGGGTTTTCTGTGGGGTCGCCAACTTATGCAGTAAACTAAAACAAAATTTTCACTATAATGCAATATTTATTTTTAATGGTGTCTTAAAGTTTGAATAATTTCATATATTTTTAAAAAATTAAAATAAGTGTAATCTGGGTACGATGTTCTGTCACAGTTGGT